GCTATAGGTGCCCACACCCCCACCGTGTTCCACAAGCTGCTTTCGTGTCAAGATCGAGAAGAATGACCGCTATCAAACATGTTACTTAAATCGCACGAGATTAAGAATCCTTGGCAAATTCGAAAGAGAAGTTCCGAATCACTCCAGAAACAGACGAACCACGACTCGTGAGCACGGTCATGCGCATGTGTGGAGTTGTGGCGGGATTTTTGCTAGTGGGTTTGTCAGAGGTGGGCGTACATGTCAGGATAATGTATGAATGACTAGACCGAAGAAATTGTGGATGACAGTAAGCACATGGACCTAGACACGCCAAGCGCGGCAATGCTTTGTCGTAGGGGCTTACCAATGCCAAGGCTTCATAAAGCCGGAACAAGAGCCGACTGAGCTGAACTCTGGGTGTGACCCGGCGTGCCCATGATCCATGTTTCAAATATATGGAGCATAGATCAGTGCCTGAAGTGACGCGGCTGGTCTGGCGGAGTCCCGGTTCAAGTTTACCGTCCAGTCACCAGGTCAGCTGATTAGTTCTCGGACGCGGGGTATTATGGTATCGATCGTGTCTGCATAATCGCGGGGAAAGCGAAGGTCTTACATTGATCGGCAGGTGTGGGGTACCTCTTCTTGACGTGTTGACGTGGGTATATCATCCTACAAGTCGCTGCTACGTTCGTTTAGCGGTGACCGGAGCACACGTGTGACGTCAGATCTGTGCGTAGGTAGGCTGAACGGAAGGAAAATAGGTCTGCAACGATCACAACACGAGCTGTTGCGACCGGAAGGAATGGCGGTCTGTATGTTTGTCAGGCATCGTAAATAGTAGAAACTGCAGTACGAGTTTTTGATAAATTCGGCGCCACTTTGCATCCAAATGCAGTCAAGCGCGCCTAATTTGGATGCAAATACTTGTCTCAAAGTGATTGCAGCGCACAATGCAAATGCAAATTGTCGACATCTTACTAGGGTGCGAGTGTTGGATGCCACTCATGATGAGTTTTCGAATCTCTGGATCTTTCAGAATACCGAATAACTTGTATAAATACCACGACGAAACTTCGAACAAAAGGCGCTCTTTCCAGAAGAGTGTTAATCAGATCGAGCATCTCCCGTTACACACTACTGCTAGTCAACACATGCACGCGCTCCTGGAAAACAACTGAAGACACGTCGGTTCCTGTATCGGGGTCGGCCACTGCGAGCTTGACCTGATATTCTCGAACGCTAAGAATCAGGCGCGGTCCTAGTATGAACATCCGCACAAGTTGGAAGATGTCAAGTAAACCAAAGTAGATCTGAGTTCCAAGGGCGAATGTATCCTGTAGAAATGATGAATGCTGGTCGCATACAGAAGTAGTGGCAGATCAGCATACCGTTGGCATCGCCGAAAAAAAATAACCGAGATCGAAGCACGAAACAACAACAACGCTAGCACATACAGAATATCAGCGGAGCAAGGGACCCACATTTATTTATGAGCTCACCTCGCAAAGTAAACCATGTGAGTTTCCATCAACACCGTGAAGCAGTCTCCGATAATTCCTCCCGCTGAATGATGTCGCAGTTCACGGAAATGTTTTATAGCGATCCACACTGTGAAAAACAATGCGAGGGCCTCCCATACAGTGGTGAGTATCCAAGTTATGGAATGCAGGAATAAATCATCGGAGCCAACTGTGCACTGAGAGGTGCCGGAGAGAATCAGCTCCTCTTGTATTCCTTCATAAGCGCTTAAATTTTGGAGCCATGATTAAGCATACCCCATGAACTATTCCTCACTGATATCGCAACCACTACTCCGTCGAAAATGTCGACAGCAAGGAAGATGACAATGAGAAATATCAGCACCTTTCTAGATCGCTGATACATAGCATGTAACCGAGCAATCAAGATGACTTGCGTGATGTTTCAGTCAACTCTGATATCGCACAGCTGCGTGGCTCACCACCCAATATTACATATACGACGACACCTATCCAATTCTCTGCCAAGTTCAGAATAAAACCTGATAAATCCAGTAATGTTAGTGGTCAGCCTCAGGCTCGCATACTCAAAACCAGCTTACAGCTGTGGCAGTCATTAGAATTGGACTGACAAGATGGTCGAGAATTCCGCTCACCCCTACACGGGAGTGCAGTTCATTAGACGGTCATAAACATCGGTGTGGAATACTCACTGCATCCGTCATTGAGATCGTTGGGACCCAAACTGCGTGCCGCCAGTCAGGAGAAATAAACACAGTGTATACAAGGAGACATGCGTACTCAACATATTGATGCTGATTGTAAGACATGAGACAAACTGGTTAGCACAGCGTCAATGACTTAGCCTTTCAGACATACACCGCGTATAATATTCCAAGATAGCGCACCTAGGATATTTTTCCACGTCAGCACGATCTTGCCAACCACACTTATAATACAGGCTACATACACTGAGATACAAGACGGTCATAAGAGACCAGCGTTGCCTCTGGTGCGAATCAAATTTATTTTCAAACTGTTCTTCTAGTGCGAGATTCTGCTCACCCAGACCAGCTCAACCTATGGAACCATTAAGTTACTGAGATTCTTGCTCCGGATGACATGAACATACCTCTTGTCCGAATGTCAGGACTAAAAATACCATATAAGCATGAGCATTTTTGTTACTAGTTTGCTCACCCCAATCATACGTCACTCCCGCGGAGCCGGCAACTACGAAACCAAAGTTCAGTTTAGATCAGGAACATCCGACTGGTCATCCACGAACCTACAAAATAACTGGAAATACGATACGAATAAATGGACGGCCACCAACTGGGATTATATGAGACCAGGGTCATAGTATTTCGAGAATGGATATGAGCGAGCTTGGGAACTTGTGGGGTATTTGACGATGGCGTTTGTCCGGCAGATGTACAACCATCCAGTGATTGTACGGCCCAAACTAGAAGGAACGGCTATCCTCCTTCGTCTATAAAGGGCTGTCTGGAGGAGACTAAGCCAAAACAAGCATAAAGGGATGATATCCGTGCTGTTTTGATTGATGTGACGTGAAACACCAGATACTCTGGAAGATGCTGAACACTGGTCTGTTGCTCATGATCAAATCGGGCCTTCGAATATCTCCTGAATCCATGAAGCAATATAGATATCACGATCATCGTAGCAGTTGGCATTGGTCTGTCTGAAACTGAAACTCACGAGCAGCTGATGGCAAAGAAACCCCACCAGATAGAAGGAACGTGGAAGACAACCCATCGTCCCTTCCTGATTAAAGAACAGATGCGTCAAAGAGTTTGACGAGTCACCACCTTGATCAACCTTATGGATGTGCCCACTGTTGGCAGTCCAACTGATGATAGATAGCAGATTTGCACACGCAACCCCCATATCAACACACGTTTATCACGTGAATGTTTCGTTCCTTCGCTTTTCGAGCGATCTATCGCACATCAATCAAACATCACATTAGAATTGTTGGTGATAAGACAACTGACTTTCTTCCTCGAGTAGCCTGTGCGATAAGTGTTTGTCAAATTGTGGACAATGGCATGTTTTTCCGTTGAGCATCGCCAATCTCATCACGGAGCTGACATCTAGATACATATCACTGTCACGGGTATCTTGTTAGCTTGGAAGGGGGCACTGTTATCGTCAACATTCTAGAACATTCTGCCCTTACCTTGGCCGTCCAGGAGGCTTGGCATTTCAATCACCGCGTGTCTCGTGTCTCATTTCCGTATGCATCATGATCCTAACCCTGAGCCACAAGATGGGCGAAAGAACGAACACATACAGAGCAAAAATTACAGCCATAAAAGTGCTGGCACCGCCCCCACGGATCATGCAAGGAAAAACGCCAACATTGTACAGTGTGAACGAGCAGCACAGGGGGCCAGTGCTGGTACAGGAATTGGAATGAGTGATGGAGGAAGCACAGGGGAAGATTTCAGGTAAATGGCTCACGGCGCAAACATATAGAGCTTGAAGTGCACAGCGAACAGGTGGCAATTAGAAAATCGGGAGTTGGGGACTTGGTGTACACACACCGCTACCGATTTCATATGCAACGTGCACTGTAATATGGTTCAAGAATAAAGTAGAGTCGTCAGGCTCGTTGCAGAAGCGCGAGACCGCACAGCCACAAGCTCGTACCACAACTTGAAGACCTCCAGAGATGCCAGATCAGACGCACTCCCCGAATTGTTCGAACTCCTGAAGTTGCACATGCATGAGGTTCACTATATAAACAAGAAAATATTCGCTCCCTCATAAGGAGTTTACGCATTACCATCGCGTCTTCCTGTAAAGTTGGATATCACGTGGACGATAGAATTCGGTTTGTTAAACATTTTGCCAAATGGGGAAGTATCAGGTTGTATATATACATACGAGGCTCTACACCATCTCTATAATGACATACCCTTTACGATCTCCCATGGAAAGCGTCACTCCAGACGCAGGTGCGCCCCCCCCTTGCGTACCACCAACGCCTCTTGCGGCCTTTTTGCCTCGAAATTTCACGTAGTGAACATTTGTGCGTCCGTTGGCTGTACCCCGTCTTTACCCTTCCTGCTGGTAGGCGTCCCTGATGCAGACGAGTTCCTGATACCGGTGCCATAATAGAGTTTCTGGTTGCCCCGCTGTAATACGGGTAGACATGCGAGACGTGTGTTCACTGTGCGTGCGAGCACTAAGGGCTATAGCGGTGCTGTCATGAGACATGAAATAAATGTGCAAAATGACGACCTACAAGCAAGATCTGACACGCGAGATCGGGTGGACGCGAAAATTGTCGAGACACGAGAAAAACGGACTTGTCTGCAGAAAAAACAGAGCGGAGTGGCACAGAGGGGAATATAGGTTTATTGCTAGACTCGTTGTCGCCTTTTCCTGTGCATATATCGTCCAGAGTCGACTGCAAGGAGTCGGACAGGGTAAGAGGGGCCGATGACTCTGACACGAGGCGGGCAAGGTGCAATGTTGGCGTATAGCGTATCTGGAGGGTTCCGCAGTGGATTATTTCGTGCTTGGGACAGGAGCGCCGTCGCAACTTTGTGCTTCAAAGGGTTTGGTGGGCAGGGAGGGGGAACGGGGTGCGTGAGGATATGGTGGTATGCTTGGGGGAGCGCTTGTGCTGTCCGAAGGGTTGGAGGGTGGGGTAGCCGTTTTTTGGAGAGGGAGCCAGCTGGTGGGTGCGAGGGGAGGTGCCACTTTGGCGTGGAAGCTAGAACTGACTGAGTAGTTGACCTGTGTCACGTAGTCTGAAACGGTATTGAAGGTTATGTTTTGTGGGATGAGCGAGGGTGGCTTTCCGAGCTTCACGGTGTGATGGGTTGGCGTTAACGATACGCGCGATGTGTCATTTGGAAAGTAAGGGAGGAAATCTGGGGTAGTTGAGCGGTCGAATAGATCATTATAGTCGCCAAAATTGCCCAATAAAGGTTGCTGCCGAGCTCAACACATCCCATACTGATATTCGTGAGCGTCCTGAATGTTCGGGGTAGTTGCCACAGACAGAAGATAGTAGGACAAGATGGCGAGAAACGAGGCTGGCAAGAACGACAGATACCTGTGACGATGACCTCGAGAAATTATGAGCGTGTAGAGGACTGAGTCGAAGCATGTCCGAGTCTATGCGTGATATCGTTTAGAAATCATGACAACCAGTCTTCATGAGAGCGCAGCTGGAGCAAACACCAGGCCCGAATCAGGTAACACTTGACTGATCTACATAGTTGTCGCATCGAAACCCCTTCTTAGAGCTCTTCCCAAAGAAGGCCATGATTTGTTGTTGTACATATTACCTCCCCATAATACAGTATTCATCCTTCCACTACAAATTATGGCCTGTAATGGTGTCATGGTCCGCCCGCCGCGGCGATTAAGCATTCTCTAAGGCAGAGTTCACTTCCATCAATCGCCTGAGATCTTGAGTCTTCGCTACCGCAGCAGTGGATTCCACCAGCGATCCTACTGCTGAGCTACCAGCACCACCATCAGATTGCTGTGCTTTGGCAAGTACCTGCTTGCTGGCCCAGTCGAGATAACCCATCTTACTGACTTCCCACGGCCGTTTGCCAGGGTCTGCCAATGGCGATTGCGAAAAGGCAGCGACAGCTTCAGGTGTAAGAGGCGGAAGGGACGATATTGCTGAGAACATCGAGCGATACTGTTCTGGAAGGCTCATGAGTTCAGAAACTTGGGGTGCTTGAAGGAAAGAGAACTGCTCCAAGCGACGTTCAGAGCGACGGCGTTTTGCTGAAGACAAGCGGACTGCACGAGTCAACAAACGCTTCAAGCGACGTTGCTGCACACCATTAGAACAAGCGAGTTCGATGATAAGCTTGGAAACGTACAGCATCTATTTTTCTTCGCAAGTCATCTATCTCTGTCATGAGCTCTGTTTCACGTTCTGGGGGGCAATCGAGATCGAGGTTCTCTTGATGAGGGACGACGACGGGAAGATCGGCAGGAATGGCGAATATGTTACGAAGTGACCATGTCTCGAAAAAGTCAAAGGCAATATCCGTGTGGGATTCCAGAAGCGTTTGGAAAGCGACAAGGCCCTGTTCCACTTCTTGCGTGCTATCCCAATCCTCTTTAATTCTTTGTTCTCGCTCAGATGCCCAGCGAAACAGGAAGCCCTCTAAGGCGTCAACGGTGTTTGTTATTGCTTCGTTAGCATAGTTGATAATGTCGTCGAGGAGGAGCTGAGGGGAAAACTCAAGAATTTCGGGAAGTAAGGCTGAAGGCACGGTAGGCTGTTGTGCGTTCATCATGGTCGCGTCAAGAAAATCACGACCACGTGATCGATCATTACCGTAAGCAATGCCGACTCCCAAGTTGCTTACTCAGCAAATGCGTATTCCTTCGGCACACAAATTGGTTATAACAGCAAGCCTTGCTTTAAACTGACTTAACCTGCAACGTTGACCTTGACCAGCTCTAAGCATCACCAATTAATAGTTTTTCACGATGTCTGCTGTCTCGCACGGCACTCGTCACCTTAGACAAGGTATCGGCGGGACCAAACACTACGCCCCCGGGGCTGGTCCTGCTCGATCACTTCATAGTTCTGCGCTCATACCACCACTGCGAACGCCCCAGCCGTCCACTGCTCAACGAATTTTCACAAACTCTCGTAACCTTGTCACCAGATTCTTTGCTCATTTAACTACACCAGGACTTGCGCATTCCGCCTCAGCTGCTGCAATCGCTCCGAGTCGGTCGCTCGTTCGTCCCGCACATTTCCATTCTACTGCTCAGAGCGTTAAGGCATCGTACTCGCTCCCTGTAAGAAATGCGCTTTACCGCCCCTTATCTTTACCACGCCTTCCTCGTCCCATCCCCGGGAATGTAGCCAATGTTGGTCTTGGCACTGTTCGTTCATTCCATTCTGCGCGGCCCATATTCCAGAATGTCGTGGATAACGTTCCTATTGCCACTCGCGCACTTTGGGAGGCTGAATGGGAATTCAAGGCGAAGAAGAAGGAGGAGCGCAGGTTGCGCAAAGCTAGGGAAAATGTTGCACCCCCAAAGTCCAAGGAAATGCTCAAGCCAAAGCAGAAGCTTATTGTTGCTCCAGTCCCCACCGAAGTTGACATCTCTGAACTTGACCATTACATGCCGCAACCTGCTTTGCCGGAAGTAACGACTTACCTTCTCGTTCCTATCGCGCCTACTCCCACCGCTCGTCTGCCCCTATCTGCACATTCCACCGTGGGAACTAGCTCCCTCCATCCGCTTCTTCCTGTACCTGAAATTGCTGCTGCGCATAGGATGCATCGTAACCATTCGCTCCGCGTGTCCACTCTTTTTTCCCGATTGGATACTGCGAACGTGTGGGATGATCCTGGCGTTGGCGTTGATGCCTACGCCTTTGGTCCTGGTTTAGGAGATAATCCAAGTGATAAACAGTGCACGATACTCCGGGTCACATTTGCAGGTTGGACAGCTGCCCAAGTGCGCAGCGTCACTGGAGAAAGCGGACAAGGATGGTGTGCTCTCGAAGAAGTTTACTCAGACGCTATGTCTATCTCCTCGCAGATGAGCACCATCGATGACGAAGAGGCTTTATCAAATCCCCAGTCCATTGCTTCTAGTATCCAGCTCGATTTACCATCCTTGTCAGAACTGGACCTTGGCAAAGATGCTGATGTCTGTTCAGACATCGAATTTGATTCGGATGATTGGGACTATGGGCTCGGATTATCGCCCTCTCCCGACGTACAGGACAACTTCGTTCTGCCAACACTAGATTTTTCGTCATCATTTGCGCAGGTTGCGTCTCCTACCCAATCATTGGCTCTACCGCCGCAGATTATCCTTCGCACAGCGTCGGAGCTTGCCGAGGAGTTTGGTGGTGTATGGTCCCCCACTTCATCGTCTTTGCTCTCGCCGTCACTCTCGTGCGACTACCTGTCTGATCTAGAGGCAGACACAATGCCAAGTGTTGCAGAAAGCGAAATGGAGAGGTCGTGGCTGGGTGTTAGCATGGGGTTGAGCTCCTCGTTCACTGAGAAACTTGAGGCGCTGCGATAATCGGAGATTGATTGGTGATACATGAATCCGCGTTGCGTACGCTTCACTCCCTTTTCTTACTTTTATGCTTTATGTGCGAGTCTAGCTCTGTTAAACATTTGAAAGCTCGTTATTGGTTCAATGATTGAGTATGTATACAAAGGTTTTCACAACAATCAAAGTTCAATGATCTTTTCATGGTGACCTGCCAGTCGACTAGTCCTCTTCCGATACTTCTTACTTGCACTAAGCAGCATGGCCATCGGTTCAGGGGGATTTTCCACGCAGATAACTAAAAGCAGGGATGACAAGGATCCAAGTCGCCACATACTTGTCACTTGCGGTCAACACCACGGCCTGAGCGCCGAACTGAACTCATAGTTGACGCCATCAGTTTGACTCTGAAAAAGCTGTGAAAGGATTCTTTCCGTCTATCTACATGCTTGCAATGCCCACCCTCATATAATAGTTCTCCGCAGCAACCATCGGGAAGAAACGAGAATTCTTACGTATAAAGGTCACCTTCTCATATACTAACTCCTATCTCACTATACAGGCTTGAAGATATGAATTACAAGTATGTGTGCTGCTCATTGGGTTGTTCATTACCACCCACTAATGAGTCATGCTATTTCGTTCACCAGCCTACGGTGAAACATCCATCATCATGTTGTAAATAATTAGTGCAGAAATTTCCAACCGCCACCTGTGGCGCGATGGGTCGAGAAGACTGTTGGCAGGCAATGGAACGAGGACTAGTTTAGGCCGAAAAACCCCCTGACACTGATACTGTATGCGATCTGAGGCAAGTTCTCGCTCTGATGTGCTCTGCAGCGATCTAACTACCTCGCTCATTTGATCAAAGGGAGGCTTCGGACGACACGACGTCACAACTTAAACTTTACTGAACTGACCCTTACAAGACCCTCAGTACGTGATCTTATATGACCTTGTTGCCAGGCGCTATCTTGCAAAGTAAACTATTTATATTTCACTCTCTGACTATGTATTTTAAGCACGAAGTCACACCTAGTCGAGCGTGGGGTGAAGGAACTCGATAGGATAGGGTATTTCGCGGAGCCCATCAAACTTATTAGAACGTTCTCATGCATACCTGCCTTTAGTTGGCCTAGTAGCTTGCGAGACGAAGTGTACGGTGGACTATGTGTATCAGGTTAGTTTTCCAAATGCGATAATTATTTGTTGTATTCCATTGTTTGTGTATTAGTAAATACGGTGGCTGTGGTTTCATTTCCCCACAACACCCACCACCATCGAAGCTCGTCGTCGCCATCAGCGTGCTCGTCGTGGCGCCGCACTCGGCATTACCTTTTGCCGCCGTGGACTACTTCTCACTCCACAATCATCAAGCTCGTCTATCTTAAAGTAAGTAAAATCTTTTGCTTTCATCATCAACACTCATCAGCGCTTGTTGTCACCATTAGCCTGCCCGTCGTTGTGGCATCAGCACATTTACCGCTACTCTCGTCATTACCTTCTGTCGCCGTGCACTTTCCGCTCCACATACCCCGAGGGATCATCGAGCACGTCCATCTTAAAGTAAGTAGATAGTCTTTTGCCAACATCGTCAACACTCATCAGCGCTTGTCATCGCCATCAGTGTACTCATCACCGCATTCACACTCTTCACCTCGTACTCAATCCTCCGTTGTTTCCGTTACACTTCTATGTTCTGCACACCCACCTATTTGAGGCTACTGTCTTCGCGGCGTCAAGTGTACCAACAACATCCTAACAAAGTTATATAGTGAACGAGTGTTGAGCATTGGTTTGTTAACATGATACTATCGAGGTGGTATAGAATTTGTGGTTTTTGGAGGACGTTTCATATTATAAACTGTTTTCTGTGCCAATCAGACCCTGTGTGCATCTTATTGTGCTTCAACTGATTGTGATAGGCTTGCTCTAAAGAAATCGTGGCTATGAGTTTGTATTGAGGTCTGTGCCGGAACCATCACCGCTATATTGAATTGCTGAAAGTGACGGCGTTTTGAGGCAAGTTTCTTCACATATATCACACGATCTAACGTGGTACAGTAACCTTCAAGTTGATCCGTCAGACTTTGTTTTCAGACCATAATACTTGTCTCATCGTGGCCCATGCCTCCGAGTCAGTGCTCAGGATGTTCGCTCGTGTTTCCTCGAATGGACGACTCAATGTGTGCGAAGTGCTCAAAGCTCGAAGCTGCAAATGCAGCAGATCGAGAACAGATTATGGTACGTGCTCACCTCACTATGTGCCTGTTGTTTTAAGTTTATATTCACCAATACCTACTATTTAGCAACAGCCGCAATGTGAAAGCTGCGGCTGTGTATATCCATTCTTGCGCTCGCCATTATGTGGTGGCTGCAAAAACAGCAACAATAATGGTAAGCAAATGTTTGTACTTATCAAGTTACCTCCGCAAGCTAATGTCAAACTTAGCTTTGAATGAATCATCTGCATCAGCCAGTAATGTTGCTGCCAGTGCCACTGCTCAATCTATTTTGCATCGACAGACTGTGCATACCCATGAGGCCAGTCAGCATCGACTCGGACTAAGCCAACCATTACAAAACTCTTTGCTGTTGAATGCAAGTGACGTGAAGCGGAAGGTTTCACTTCTTAAGGCCAATGCTCGGGCAGCAAAGGTTGATGTTGACTTTACACTTCAGCAATATGCCTACGGGAGCTCAAAGCCTGCTAAACTTGCCATCCCATCGTCACGAGTGACCTTCGCTACTGTGGACCTAGCCACTAGTGCCTTCGAACAGCTGGCTTTGAAAGCAAGAGGCCTATACGATAACACCCTGACTCTTTCAGGGCTTTCCGATACTGCGCTGGATGTTATGTTTGATTGGTAATGTTACTGTAGAGTGTTCAGTGGATGGATATTGATAAACCCTGTCATGCAGGCATAGGATCAAGTATTGCACGATGCTGACCAATGCTACTGTGAATATGATTGAGGAACAGAAGTATCTGGTGGCACCGGCAACCATGGAAACACTTTATGGAAAACTGAGGCAAGACAGGATGTTGTCTGATAAAGATGCATCAGCAAAAACCCCAAGGATCATGCTCCGCATGTTCTTGTATGTCCCTGAAGAGGTAAATAAAATATATGTATACTTCAAAGCAACCATCTGAGAAGAACTATAGCCTGAGGATGATGATGTCCAGGAAGTACAACGAAGTCGGCGTGTATCTACTTGGAAATCAACCACAGCAAGTTCTCGTCGTCAGAAGCGGAAAAGATCCCTGACAGGTGAGCGAGGCTGTGATTATTGTCATAGTGATGCTTATAAATCTGAACAGCATCACCTGAACGTCTGCCACCTCCCAAGCGCTATCAGAGTTCATACCGATCCAGACAGTCCGCAACTGCACCAATACTTGAATATGAAACCTTTAAGATGAAGCGGGCAACATGCACTGTGAGCAAGACCGCAGATATACAGATGAACTACAGCGAAGAGCAGGAAGAGATTATGATTGCAAAAGGGTGGCAAGCTCATGTTAAAGCTGGGAAGCCTTATCAGGGTTATCTTGGGCAGGGATTGACGAAATTTGTCTTCCGTGTGAGTTCCACATTCTTCGAGTGCTCCCATCACTAATTAAAAATGCAGGGTCGCTATAACAATGAGGACTGTGCTATTGTCCAATGTAAATCAGTCCGTGCAACAGAAGCCAAAAACATTGTGGATCTAGAGGGTGAATACCAGACTCTTCATCTCTCTCAGTACTTTTTGGACTCTTTCTATGAACGAGCAAAGAATTACGGAGTTGATGATCTTCCTAGTGGGTCCATCACATATGAGTATAAGTAGAAGCTAACGAGGCATAGGAATGAAGTGGAATATCTCGACTGCATTCATTGGAAAGCTTACCAAGAAACTCCCAGATGCTCCTGGCAAAGATGAACCTGATTCACGCAACCTTGTCTTCAGTGTCTTCATGGTACTCCCACTTCTGCCATCTGGTGCCCTGTGTAGAGAGGTTAAATTTTCTGGGAGCAAAGAAGTAGGCCTCAACCCTGATTCACTTGGATGTGCTGTGGATGCATATGCACATCACATTGCTGTTGATTCAATGTATGAAGTTGTCATATCTGACATTCAAGGTGAGTTCACGATGATGTAATGCAAAATGGTTCTCAAGTCACCAATAGGAATCATCACACCGGATCATACTATCATTTTCTTTGACCCGCAGTCTCACATGTGTGTAACAGACTTTCATATACCTAATGGCCACATCTGATTTTCGCACTACAGGGCACAAGGGGACTCTGGCTACTGGGACCATGGACAATCTGCAATCACTGAGTTTTTAAAATCACACAAATGCAACAAGCATTGTAGGGCTCTCGGTCTCGATACTGAGTTCCCACCTTTATCCAATACCAACCGCAAAGGCCCACTTCGTATTGGTTTTGAAGATTAGAACTAATTTCTTTTGAGTCATTCAAATTTGGTTTCACAATTATGTTCATATTCAACTAATTCTCGATTCACATTTGAGCACAGTGCTACATACACCGACTACTGCCATGACTAAAATATGATTCTATATTAATGGTAGCATTGCTGAAAACACGGACCAGACATTTTCGAAAGTTAAGACAGTGAATCCAAGGCCATCAAATATCAACTGCGCTGCGGCACTATATTCAGAATCAACAAAACGAATGAGATCCTCACCACCAATCTCCTCCATGAGGTTCTTGACAACATCGCAATCCACTAACTGCAGACAGTTCTGCACATCATAGTCTTTGTGAAGCAATATTGCAACATTCGGAGAGACACCTGAAGGCAATAGTTTATCTCGGTCATAGCGAACAGTGTGTGTATTGAGACAATGCTTGAGTGTGTCGAGTTCTTGTTGAATTAAGCGCGGCCATAGCCACTGAACGAGAGCACTAAAATGCAAATGAGAACGAGTCAAAAAACACCACACCTAAACCTACTACTGGCATGGATCCATATCATTATAAATCTCTTCACCCGCTTCCCAAAAAACTTTCACGTTATCTCCCCATTGAACCCGCACACGAAGCCAACCACGCTCGATGGTGATATTATGAACACTCTTCAGAAACCGATGGGCAGGTAACTCGTCAGTTGATAGGTTTGGTGAAAATATTTCCCTTGTAATATAGTATCGTTAGCATAAGCATCACATTGGCTAGTAGTACTAACCTTAAAGCTGTTGCGAAACCATATACATCTGTTGTCTCGCTTCCGCAATCAGTTGTGGTTTGAAGTGGCATTCCTAGGTAAATGATGAACCATCATGCTCAAATAGATTCACGGAACATACCACCAAGCTCATGGACGAGGGATAAATAAAGGTATGCAATTGATGTCTTGAGCCGGTTGTTTGGGACAACCCACATTCCCAACCACTTTCCGGACCACTGGTCACGGATTGCCCATATAGGAAAACCTATTCTACTCAATTTATCGTGCCCATCACCACTCCATTGGTGATGGGGACCAAGCGAGACTAGCGGCTGACGAGAAATCTTCTTTTTCGAAAGTCCCCGTTGGGCAAACCCGTCCGGCTCATGTTGCCTCATCTCATCCGTCACATATTTCCTTGTTCCAAATTAGTTTGTATAAATCAATACATTATAATGATAACATTACCTTGTCAGTAGATTACCAGTGTCCGCCACAATTGCTTCCCGGACTAAACGGGGCCCACGGCGGTGAAGGGGATCCCATGCGAGCTGATCAAGCACCAATTGCCACTTGATTGACCATGGAAGCAAGCGAGTCAGCTGCCCACTTCCAAGGAGTCCGAATTGCTGCCGGCGTCGCGCAACAGTTGCTTCACTATGGGCAAAGCATGAGCACACACTAGCAGAACACACAGTTAAATTCACCTCATGACTATACCATGCTCTGCCTGGAGAAGACGACTGATTTTTGACCTATTCGTGATATTATCATGGTGATACTGGGTAAGAATTTTCCGGAGGAATGGATCATTCTTTCGAGCTATCACAGTGTAGAAATTAGTATAATGTTAGTATATTGATGCGACACAACTCATGACAATGCTGATATTGATTTTTGCCCTTGGGGTTTGGGACACGACTAGAGGTACAGGCATTTCCCTCCGCAGGAAGAGTCTGCGGCTCATCTTCATTCAGAGCCTCATCTGCATCATGGGAGTCCATGAGAAGAATACAGGATATAACGGTAAGAGTGTACGCACCTAGTACTGTACAAGAGCAGATTTTATACCTGCCCGGTATCATCCACCTGCACTAACACGGTGGCCCCGAAACGTGGAACTGTGAAGTAAAGCCATGAGCCAAAAGACATAAGAATATTATCTACTTACTTTAAGATAGACAAACTTGATGATCGTGGAGTGAAAAGTAGTCCACAGCGGCGAAAGGTAATGCCGAGTGCGGCACCACGATGACGGGCACGCTAGTGGTGATGATGAGCACACTGATGGCGATGACGAGCTTCGATGGTGGTGGGTGTTGTGGGGAAATGAAACCACAGCCACCGTATTTACTAATACACAAACAATGGAATACAACAAATAATTATCGCATTTGGAAAACTAACCTGATACACATAGTCCACCGTAGAAGTGTCATTAATGTAACTCAAATGCACTAACGATGTTATAAAAGAGCGCGATAACGTCGGTGGACTTATTTTTGTCGCTCCACGTTGTTGACCACCCGGATCTTTTCATTCATCGAATGTATTTCAATCATGCTGTCATTCGCATCCAGGCCTGGACAATCGCGGGAAGTACAATGTAGTAGACCTGCTAGCAAAAATAGCTCTTCGTATTTTGCGATGACTTCTGAACAACCCTTACACTGCGAAAAGAACAAAGTGACCATGATAAAACAGAAAAAAAATGAGGATGCTTCTCACCGAGGCAGCGGTTATTCACTGTTACAGCATGACAGGCCTAACGAATTGCCGTCCGTAGAATTTCAGCAATTTTTCGAGGTCTTGTCGATTGCCCGTTGGAGCATGGCCTTTGTCAGAGAGACATACGTGTGCTTGCGTAACTTTAGCTCCTGCTGGCAGGCATATAGGCCAACTGAACGCTCTAAGAATGGATTGGGGGTGTAGTGAGTTTATGCAATAATTTACTGATCCTGGAGATCAAATGATAAATAGGGTTAAAATGGAGGGGTACACACGATCTAGCTAGGGTTCGTTATTCGCAGGTTCAGGTCAAAGGTATTGCGCCGCATTGTAATGCATTTACGGAAGCCTCTCGAGGTCAAATTGGTGATTAGAACCATGCGGCATAAAGTATTTGCAGACCAATGCATCAATTTTACGTTCATTTGGAAGTTTGAGAAGTCCAACTATCTCGATCTGCAAATAGCTGCAATACGTTACCAGAGCAAGACGGAAATGCAGTCATGTGCGTTAGGTTCATTGAAGTGGGAGGAAACGAGAAAATGAAAGTTCCAGTATATATTACGCGAGCGTACTCACTGTAAGCGTTGTTAACAGCTAATACATACGGTGAGAGGTGATATCATGATCAAAACGGCGTGTCGCTCCGTGCAATGCGTGAACGTCAATCACCAAATCCCAACACAGTCTGGGACGGTTGGTTTCAAAGTGCGCATTATACAGTAAGATCTAGCCGGACGACGCTTGTATTCTCTTCAAACAGATAGGTAAAGTTAGATTACAAGTAACCTATGACACTCATGAGCGACAACCAACACGATGCGACGGTAGCTTCCTACCATGATTCATGTTATGACTGGTCCATGTCTTCCTGCTCAGGCTCCTGCAGAACAATCTGCTCCGGTTGATCCGGTTGTTGAATATTCCCATCGCTTTGACCAGAATCTGATGCTGATCCTTTCGCGGGATCACTTATCACTTTGGGATCCCCTGAGCCTCCAACGTGAATGACGATATTCATTGTCGACTTGACCCTTGTTTTGAATTCCTCGTCATTACCACCACCATCTTCATCCTCGCTTTCTTCAAGCATCTGGTCAAAAACCTCCACACTACCTGTCTGCACTTCGACGCTCAGCTCGCCCGGCACTATTTGAGGTAGAGAAATGGCCAAAAGCGAAAGATGCGGGATAGCAGCACCCATTGCGCTCAATCGAATCTCTTTAAATCCATCTTCGAGGATCAGAGCCTTGCATCGACACAGGTATGCGGCTAGCTTGGTACGCCGCGTGACGCAGATGTTATTCTTGCCTTCAGTATGCAAGGAGCGCGGTGCTGTGGCAGGTGCGGATGGTGCAACTGTTGGGAATGGCCGTGGGGGCGCGAGTTTCCGGATTCTGGGACGGTTATTGGGAGCTGCTGATTGCGATGTGGTGGCAGGGTTCTTGGCCGTCGACGACCCTGATTGTCCACTGTTGGTCTCCTTGTCTTTTTTGCTCTTTTTCGAGTTGGCCTTGGCAACGGCTCCACCTTGTAGCTTGACTCTTTTCCTGTCATCGGTAGGAGGGACAATTGACTTGCGCTTTCCGGCTGTGCTGCTCATGATGCGGTGAGATAAAGCCTTTGAGATGACTGGCGGTTCGCTTCCGAGTGAATCAGTTGCAGACTAGATAGCACCAGCAAACGTCACGAAGACTCGATCGGTAAAAGAGTTGAGTCAGGGTACTGGAAGTGCAAGTACTCGGCGAAGTCATCACATTGGAAGGCAGCCTTGAGGCAGCCTACCCTAAATCCGCCACCGCCCGGGAAAAAGTTTAAAGTCCTTCAAAAGGTCTCAAATTGAACGTACGGGACATCCAAGGCGTCCCACTCACATTTTCGTCAACAGAAGATCGATATCAAAACGTTCACAAGAAAGATCTGCCCATCATGAGTCAAGATGTCGCAGAGCAGAACATTCAGATGTGGAAAGTAAAGAAACTCATCAAGAGCTTGGACTCTGCACGCGGGTATGTCTTCATATTTCATTGAACCAACGACGATGGACACTGATCGCGTGCTGTATAGAGCGGGGACATCAATGATCAGCTTGATCATTCCTCCCAAGGTGCGCCGATCTTAGCGCCCCTTTTGCCATCTTGCTCATCTCACTCCACTTGCCACAGGATCAAATATCTCGTGCCTCAGCCATGTTGACGCAGGAATACGGTACTGCGAGCAACATCAAATCGCGGGTGAACAGATTGTCTGTTCTTGCAGCTATCACCAGTACCCAACAGCGCCTTAAGTTGTACAACCGAGTCCCGCCAAACGGTCTCGTCCTTTTCGTGGGCACCATCCTCACCGACGAAGGTAAGGAGAAGAAGGTGTCATTCGACTTTGAACCTCACAAACCGATCAATACGTAAGTATCTCATCCGATGTATGACCTCGATCTTATGCATGAAACAGGTCGCTTTACCTCTGTGATAACAAATTCCACACTGAAGCCCTATCCGAGCTTCTCGAGTCTGACTCTCGCTTTGGTTTCATCGTCATGGATGGTAATGGCACCCTCTTCGGCACCCTCTCAGGCAATACTCGTGACATCGTTCATAAATTCACCGTCGATCTTCCTAAGAAGCATGGCCGTGGTGGTCAATCTGCGCTACGTTTCTCCCGTCTGCGTGATGAAAAGCGCCACAACTACGTTCGAAAAGTCGCCGAGCATGCTGTGCAGCACTTTATCACAAACGACAAAGTCAATGTGACTGGACTCGTTCTTGCAGGAAGCGCCGACTTCAAGACAGAACTGAGTCAGAGTGACATGTTTGACCCACGCTTGGTCGCAAAAGTGATCAAGGTTGTAGATGTGAGTTACGGTGGTGAAAATGGTTTCAATCAGGTCGGTTCAGATGTTCTCGTGCTTTTACACGATGACTAAAATTGAAACGCAGGCTATTGAGCTTGCAGCAGATGCGCTGGCAAATGTTAAGTTCGTGCAGGAGAAGAGGCTCATCCAGAAGTATTTCGACGAAATCAGCCAAGATACGAACAAGTACTGCTTTGGTATTGATGACACGTTGAAGGCGCTTGATCTGGGTGCGGTCGAGACTCTGATCGTGTGGGAGAACTTGGATATCACACGCTATGTATTCCGCAATGCCGCAGGAGGTAAGACGCTTGTTATCATTGCAGATCACTGGATGACTCATGGATAACGTCAGAGGAGATTATCATCCACGCAAACAAAGAACAGGAGAAAGATCGCGAGAGATTTTTGGATAAATCTACTGGTCTAGAAATGGAACATGTCACTGATCCACAGCCTCTTCTTGAATGGTTTGCTGAGAAGTACAAAGAGTTTGGAGCAAACCTCGAGTTTGTGACCAATCGGTCGCAGGAGGGAGCGCAATTCGTAAAGGGCTTCGGTGGAATAGGCGGGTTGCTTCGCTACAAAGTTGATTTGACAAATCTTGCGGCCCTTGATGAAGATGAAGACGAGTTTTACAGCGATGATGATGATATCTGACGTTATGGTTGGCTCTCCGGAGCCCCGTCCACTAATAGCACGTCGGGCGGGGCGGGGGCAGGGGAAGTAAGGGGAGAACGGCGGGACCGGGTTGCGCGAGTTTCTGCATTCGGTCATCGGTTCAATTGTTACACGCCAGTACTTGGTCTAAAGGTTCGTTCCCCCGCACATTTTATGGGATTTTCTGACAATAGTCATCTCAGGTAAACGGTTCTTAGAGCGTATGAACTACTACATGCGAGTGGAGTCACCCTGTGTTTCGCCGATGAGTAGTTTCAACCTATGTAGTTGTATCCTATTGTTCGTTTGATCAATGCACTTCTTGTGTGGTGCAGTGTCTCAGATCTCAGTGCTCTCAGTGCTTTGTACAGCATGCTCTTCGACTGTATCAACCAAGTGTCAACGTTGCGGGATGTTTATTGTCTGGCAGGGCTCACAACTGTGGCACCTGGTCAAAGCGCATTCCAGGGGACGTGACGACGCGCGTGACGTCACACGTCCACCTTGCGCCCACCTGTGGTATTTATTGACAACGATATAAACAGACGCGACGATTCGGGATCCATTTTCAAGCGCATATTTCTTGACTTCTAACACCCATTTCACAACATCTCCCGTTCTATAACTATGGCTGGTGAGTTTAATTTTATTGCATGCATCACAACAGCTCCTATAACATGTGTCTGCAGGAAGAAAACGAGCTGCAGAAGAATCTGCCACCGAGAAGCGCGAGACACGCAGTGCCAAAGTACCCAGAACAGAGGGTCGAAAGAGCGCCAAGGGCGCTGGGAGGAAGGGCGCAGCTCGATTGAAGGTTTGTGTTCCCGCATACCTCAGCCCCTAATTCTCAATGTGTAGTATGACTAGACGGGGATGGGTGCCACTGCGTTCAAGTCGCGTGCGCAACCCTTACATGTTAACATCTCACACACTAGGCCTCCCACCGACGTTGAGTCGACGGATCCTGGGTTCGTGGAGGCTATAGAACTCGTTTCGTCGAGCTTTTCTACTGGGAGCTTCGGATGGAAAGGGAGCAAGCGCATCACTGTTAATTTGCCCAAGTCGGAGGGAGAGGAGGAAGGTGAAAAAGTGCATGTCATGTTAACGTGAGTTCTATCGGCGAATTTTTGGCGGCTCCCTTGGTAATCTCTCACTGGCCAGAATCAATGCCACTGTCATTGGCAGCAAAGATGCCAAGGAGGATGTTGAGGAGGGTGAGGAGGGTGAGAAATTGGGAGAAAAGGCGGGAGAGAAAGCTGAAGAGAAAGCTGAAGAGAAAGAATCCGAAGGGGTGGACGAACCTGCACAAGAGGAACCTGCCCCTCCTGCAGAACAGGCCGAGGGAACAGAACAGGAGGCTTCATAAGCTGTATCTTTATTCGTACGTTGACAAAGTCGTAGTCCCTGATTTTTTTTTTGGTTTATCAGAGGTTCATGCTATCTACGCTACTGCCATATACATGATCATGACTGGATTGGAGGTTTTTTTTTTTCTCATGTCAGCATATGCTGCTGTCGCATGTGAGCATACCGTGTGCACAGACTGACGTTATTTCGGAAGCCCATTGTGATTTAAGCGCCCATGTATAAACCCCACTAACCCCGTTTCATGCTCCTTTGTTCAGCTCACTCAGACGTCGGTTCTGAGGAAGTGGAAATGGACCTCCAGACTGGTTCGGAGAAAGCACCAACAACCACGAAAGGGGTCCCAACGTACTACACGACTCGCCATATTAGCTATCAGACGAGAACCCGTCGGTTACAACTTGCAGCTGTGAAACTAGTTACATGTCTTTGCCTTGCATCATGGGTTTATCACTTCGCTCTTCCTGGCCGCCCTGTAACTCAACCTCTCCATTACAAGGACTTTGGGGCCTTGCTGGACGACCCCGCATCCGAGTTTGCAGACGACGACTTCCCTCTACGTGCACATGAACCCTGGGATATCTCTGTGGATTTCCCTTACCCTCGTACACTGACCTACGAGGTAACAGAAGGTACATGGTTGCGACTCGATGTGCACCCTGTGAGTGGGGATATCGTGTTTGACATGGCAGGGGATGTATATTGCCTGCCGGGTGATGCATATTTAGGAGCTGCTAGAAGAGGCGGAGGGAGAACAGAAGCGGTGCCAGTCCTCACGGGTATCCCACATGACGCGGATCCGCGGTTTTCACCTGCAGGCGATAAGCTCGCATTCAAAAGTGATGCGGGGCTTGGCGCTGACAATCTGTGGGTAATGCCCTGGGCAGCAAACGGGTGCACGGCTATGGACGTCCGCGCGCATGTCAGCTCATCGTATGAGCTTGAGCTGAAGATCTACGACGAGAAGCAGCTCGCACAAGGTATAAAGGAGACGGGTGAGAGGAAACTGAGGAGATTGACAAGGGAAGGAAGGGTAAATGGCGAGCGATATAAATCACTTCTCCGTCAAGGCGGGATGCTCATGGAAGTATAGCGCAGCGCATCACGAATGAGACGTACAACTGGGTATCTGACCCGCGCTGGCATCCTTCAGGGGATAAGGTCGTCGCAACAAAATGGTACTACTCTTCACGGTCGCTTGGAGCTGGCGAAGGATGGGAGTTTCCCATTCCCGCTGTCCACGCCCAGTCACAGGTCGAGACAGGTGCCGGAAAGCGTTTGGTGTCAAAGAGCTTACCTATGGGGTGGGCAAAGGCGGACTATGTCGAGCAGCAGATCGGACACGAACAGTTCATATGGGCGGGCGATGATGCACTGATTTATGCTGGTAATGTGAGGGATGTTGATGGCAGTTACACGTATTCCAAAGGTGCGTTAGCACTCGCTGTTTCATCAATGCGCTATGTTACTTGTTCCTCATGTGTATGCAGATGTCCATCGGGGCATCTATGCGATCTTCCAGCGCAACTTGACGACGGGCGTGGAAAAGACGCTCGTTGATGCCTTCCCTGGTGGTGCAAGCCGGCCTATACTCTCGCGCGATGGACGCACGCTTGCGTTCGTGCACCGTGTGAGAGACAAGGAAGCACTCGTACTCAAGTGAGTAATGATTTACTTATAATGTTCTTGAGAGTTTGTATAACCTCTCTAGTGTTCTTAATCACCACACTTCTTGCATCTATATTCTTGTATTCGTGTACTATAATTTGACTTGACTGATATTCCTTCGATGACAGGGATCTTAACACGGGCACTCTGCATCATATCTGGTACGGGCTCACCTATGACCTCTCGACAATCTACGCGCCGATGGGTACATACCCGTCCTTTGCATTTACGCCCTCTTCGTCCTCGCCGGGCATCATCATCTGGGCTGCTGGGCAGATCTGGCATGTCCCATTGGCGCACAACGCAGAGGGGGAACTTGTTGCAGCGACTAAAGCCACTAACAATGCAGACCTTACGCCAAAGGTGATCCCGTTCACAGCAAAAATCTCGAAGAAACTTGCGGAAACTCGGCGTATGAAGACTGATGTGCGCAAGTTTGAATCAGGCCTACAGCGCGTGCGTGCCTTCGCCCAGCTCGCCCTGGATGAATCTGGCGAGCATGCAGTATTTGCAGGCGCGGGCCGGACATGGTTGCAGGTGCTTGGGGGCTCCCTCATCAACCCGACTACCTTCGACCCCGTCGATGACGCCAATTTCCTTGGGACCTCAAAGCCTGCCCAGCGTATTCCTCACCTATACCCTTCCGCAGGATACTATTCACCTTCCTTCATTCCCGCGTCTTCCTTCATTCTGCATGCACGATGGGATAATACATATTTCTCGTCCCTTGAGTTGGCAGATCTGGAGAGTGGACAAGTGTGGGAGGTTGCTGGACTCCCAAAGGGGCGGTGGTTCGGTGCTATCGTAAGTGGATCTGTGGAAAACGGTGTGCGGACAGCTGTGCTGGTGAAGACAGGTGGGGATGTGCTGACTGGTAACGTGGTGGCTACTGCACAAACTGGAGTCTGGGTTGGAGAGATCACGCTTCCGTCCCACTCCTGCTCCGAAGGCACGGTCCAATTAACCAACCTGCGCTACGTCCAAAGCAGTATCGACCCTTCTGATGTCGTCAAGCTGTCGTTCGTGGATGACAAGTCTAATGAAGTCCTCGTTCAGCAATCTGACAGTGTACTTCGAGTCTCGTTGCGCGACGGTGCTGAGGAGGTGGTTGCTCGGGGGAAGGGAACTGACGAGCTCGTTTTTTCACCAACTGAATCTGTGCCCTCGATATCTTCAAGACTAGCTGGACGCAACCAAGCAACAGGGAGTGCGGCGTTTGTCAGCTTATTTCACGTATATTATGCGCCACCTTCCTCAGTAAACTCTGAGAAGGCGATGTGGGCCAAGCCTGGGAAGGCACCGAAGCACATGGTGCGTCTGAGTGGAGACGGTGGGCATGATATCGTGTTTAGTGGTGACGGAAGTGTGATTGGATGGTTCCTTGGTCCGTTTGTTTTTCTTCATATTCCACTGACATCCCTAACCACTACGCGATTTAGGACCATACCTCCATACTCTTCAGCTCTCCCGCCTTCCCTCATGCGCAGGTGCAATCGAAGCTGACACATCTAACTTCGGGATCGACTGTGTCCGGGGCTTGCTGGATGTCACAGCAGTGGATGTTGCTTATACCCCTGATGTACAACGGTTGTCCAGCGAGGCACGCAAGTCAATAGCGAATGTCCCACAGAGATCAATTGCAGCAGAGAGCAACGCTGATGTAGTCATCATCCACAATGCGACAGTCTTGAGTATGGAGAACGGCGTACTCACGCAGGATTTAAGACTAGGCGCGAGCGTTGTCATTCGGAGTGGAGTTGTGGAGGCCGTTGGCGGCCCAGGTGTTGGGGAGGGACTGATGGGGGCATTTGAAATCAACGCTGAGGGCGGTCGGTGGTTCCATCTATAATCTGTGGAAAAAGCTAACGTTGCCTGACACGTAGGGTACGTCGTTCCAGGTTTCATTGACTCACACGCACACTGGGCTGGCACCGAAGACAAGTACCCAGCAACGTCATGGGAGATGCAGGCTTTCCTTGCGTATGGCGTGACTACACTACACAAGTGCGTGATTTTCTCTCCACATTCATTGACCATTATACTCCCGAACCCACAGCCCAAGTCTACATAACTCCCTTGGCTACGTCGAGCGCGGACGCATCGAGTCTGGACTTATGGCCGGCCCGCGGCTCTTCCATACCGGCACAGTCATCTATGGTGCATCTGAATACAGCATCCATCAGGACATTGCAAGCATGCGCGAGGCACGTGAAGCACTTATAAGGATCAAAGCCGAAGGCGGGGATGCGAGCTGGAGCTATAAGAACTACAACTTGCCGACAAGGGCTGCAAGACAACGGTTATTAACAGCTGCGCGTCAAGTAGGGATGCTGTGTGTGCCTGAAGGTGTAAGTGTCTGTTTTCTCGTTCGGTTGAGTGGGCCGATGATTACGGTCGTAGGGAATGAACTATGATTGGGATTTGACGTATATTGTGGATGGTAAGTGCCCGACTTCAAGCCTTGAGTGGTTACTGATTAGACTAGGGATGACAACGATCGAGCATAATATACCTGTGTCCGTGCTATATGATGACATCCTCACGCTCTATACGATGAGCGGGACTGGATCTACTCCAACGCATATCGTCGATTATGGGGGCATGTTCGGAGAGCAATATCTTTGGGCAACAGAGGATATTCCCAACGACCCGAAGTATGTCTCTGCTTCAGCCTTTAACTATGTGCGCTCAAACACCCGTTGTCAGACTCCGCACGCACACACGGCACGACATCCTCGAAGGGGTCTCAGAGAGCACAAGCCGACCGTTCAATTGTATGCTTCACGTGGATTCATGCCTAGCGGCAAGTCGGTTAACTTTTTCGTTCCAGCGATGGCACTATGGAATGTTTCTGCATCCGTTGCGAATATGGTGCATAGAGGGCTGCGCGCTCATATCGGGGCGCATGGCGAGCCACCTCTTGGACTCATGTACCACCAGGAGATGTTATACGCCAAAGCGGGCGGGCTGAGCAACTATGAAGTTCGTTTCCCCTGTACTGCACTTGTTTATCAAGTTGGATCTGACTTGACCTCATCGCAGGTAATTCGCGCAGCAACTGCTGATGCCGCAATCACTTTTGGTCTCTTTGACAGCCTCGGGTCCGTCTCAGAGGGCAAACTTGCAGACCTCGTCATCTTCCCGCCTGGTTTTGACCTGTTGCAGGATGATATCCGTCACACGCGGAATACCAGGTATGTCATCCGTGGTGGGCGGATATGGGATGCGGAGACCATGGAAGAGGTGTGGCCCGTTAAGAGGAAGCAGGTTCTTCCACCGTTCAATGCAGAGTAGGAACAGAATACTAGCTTGTAGTGGAACTTGGAGGTGCATGATGAGCTAGAGGAGCCAGGCCGTAAATACCGTGAGTAGTATGCTGTCAACCTTTGTTTAGCGCTTCAGGTGCGGAGTTCAGGGATTCCCTCTTCCTTTCCCGCACCATTATGTCTCTCCAGCCATTCATCTCTCTGTATCGATATGCTGTTGAACCAATAGCACCATTTACCTGGTTTGATACCAAGGTCTGCTCCCTCGATTTGGTGGCCGTGTTCAGGCTTTGCATAGCTTTGAGACAAATGAGGGAAAGTTTGCGTGCCAAACGCTGTCAGCGGACCGCTGGAGATAATAGACTCGCACTTGCAGAGGAGAGGTCCTTCGTGAGAGACGCATGTGCCATGTTGACGATTGTATTTGGAGGAGAGGCTATCATAGGTATTACTAACTTTTTTATGTAGGGAGATGTCAGGGCTGCGCATACTGACTGCTCCCTACTATGCCCAGGCCCTCTACTTGGTATTATGCCGTCTTTCATGTTCTCGGGTGTCTCTCCCGGATTGTACATCGCCGCACAAGCGATTGTAGAGTATGTCCCTGTCCTGCCGTCCATGTCACTCAGCACCGAGCTTCCTTTATCCATTGTCGATGGGTTTACGCGCGCAATGCTCCTTTGCAGCCTTATACCACCACCCATCATCACCCACACATCCCCTGTCATCGCATCTTCCCCATGGGCTCTCCTTCTCTCGTCTCTCGTATGTGACCGCTTCCCATCATGATTTCCGTCTCCATACCTCTAACCACCCTTGCCTACCACAGGTCATTACTAATGGCGGTTTCTTCATGACGAACATGTTCTCATTCATGGAACCCACCCCGCTTGTACTGACGACCCCCGACGAGCTCAAGCCCTATGGCTGGACGGCCACTGACATCTGGTCCGCCCCGCTTGTTACGGGGCTCTATGCGTTCCTCACACACGCCCAGCCGTTCTGGGCAGAGTTACACAGTGTAATTTCCACTGCCCTCGGAGGCGGTAAGGTCAGTCCTATGGACCCAGAGTCCGCCCGTGCGCTGTGCGCACTAATTCTCACAGTATTGTTCTCCGCCCGGACTGCGAAGAACTTTGGGCTTATCTGGAAGAAGAGTGAGTTCTGAGTTGGTTTTGTGCTGGAGCGGTATTGATGGTTTTTCAGGCATTGCAGAAAAGATTAAGATACAATGAATACCCAGCGTGATATCAATTTATACCCCTTGCCATAGATCTACATGACATTTATGAATGATATGTCCTTGCCACGAATATTATGTCCGAGCGGTCCAGTGGTGCGTTGAGGGCCTGTCGAAATACTTAAAAAAGATGTGAAGCTTTACATGTAAGAATGACTGACACAAAATATGCCTAGGCTTAGTAGACTCAACTCACAGCAGTCAAATATGTTGCTCGAGAATTTCACATGCACAGGAAAACAGTCTGATTTTTTAGAAAGACTATTCCAAAGTCAGCGACACACATCCACAAAATTTTTACCACTGTTTAATAAGGAGGTACAGGAGGAGGAGGCGGAACCATGGCTCCAGGCACATTTTGCACGGCGAAACCAGGTGGTGGCGGAGGCGGGAATGCTCCAGGAGGAAACATGGACATGTTGGGCGGTGGAGGTGGTATTCCCATCCCCACAGGTGGCATCCCTCCCATCACTGGCATCCCTTGTGGAACAACCGCCTGCGGCGGGTTGAAACCGGGTGGAGGTGGCGGCTGAGCAAGCACGCCCGCAAATTGTCCTTGATAAGGACCCTGGAACCCTGGCATAGGAGGACGAGCACCAAAAGCCATCTGCGCAGGAGGAGGGCGGGAACCGACGGGAAGCGCGTTGTTCTTCCGTGCTTGTGCGGCGAGTAGACGTTCTGCTGAGGTGCCGTGACGCTCGCCTTTGCCGTCTTTCTTAAACGCATACTGCACAGTGATGGCTTTGTTCATGAGGAACTGGCCATTCATGGACTCTGTCGCGGCGTCGGAAGACTCGAAGTCGGTATATGAGACAAAGCCATAACCCTTCGAAAGCCCCGTGCCAGGGTCTCGTGCAATCTATCAAATTCTGTCAATGAAGACGGCGAGTTGTTCGAATACTGGATACGTACCTTTGCTGTCGTAGCCATCATACCAAAGGCGCTGAAAGTATCGTATAGTAGCCGCTCGTCCACGTTCTCGTCCAAGTTACCGATGAAGAGGTTTGCTCCCACATCCAGTTGTTTTTTGTCGGATGATGCCTACGCGAGATGTGTGATTAGTATGAATCTCCGAAACAACACTCAAAACAACATACCTTGTTCACCCTGATGGGCTTACCCCATAATTTTATCTGGTTCATAATTTTGCATGCATACTCGGCATCCTCCTCTGTCAAGAACTCACAGAAACCGTACCCCTGATGAGCCATTGAAATACGATCCTTTGGAAGATGCACATTGACTGTATACCGTCAGTTCGAATAGGTGGTCGATTGGACGACTTGCTCACCGACAGGTCCTGCTTGTAGCATCAACTCCCAAATGAGTGCGTCAGTGCACCGTTCATCGAGATTACCCTATCATCGATGAATGAGTATTGAAGTTCATGGCATGAGGGTGAATGGTGCACACACCAGATATACAGTAGCCTCCTGATTTCTATCGTCTTGAGGTCTTCCAGACATTGTCACTGAAGATGAGCTCGCGCACCAGCCCAAATCTAAGTGTCGGCAAGGTCCGGATGATCTCCCACAGCCACGTGATGCCTTCGGAGGTGAATGACTTCAATATTGTGATCACCAATTAGGCGACTTCTGTCATCGATATCGTTCCCTTCAGCCTCGTCCTGTATATATTATGCAGAGTAGTTAATCCTTCTTTCTCTATATTCAACACCATCTATTTCAATTACAATGACCATTACTCAAGAGTCCTCCATACAATCCGTCAACGAGACCATTCTCCCTCGAAGATATCAAGAGGAGATTTTTCAACGCGCTCAAGAATGTAATGTCATTGCAGCACTCGACACCGGCAGTGGAAAGACTTTCATCAGCATTTTGCTTATCAAATGGATCGTGTTACAAGAGAGCGCTCGCGGCAAAGTCATCGTTTTTCTGGTACCCAAGGTAGCTTTAGTTGAACAACAGGCCAACTTTATCGCCGCGCACACTCCTTTGCGAGTCAAGAAATTTCATGGATCTCTCGATCTGGAGCTTACGGATCGTGCCAACTGGAGGTCATCATTCGAGAAGTCTGACGTCGTTGTTATGACTGGTATGTATCTCCGTCGAATAGCTTCCCTTTGATGATCGATGTAACGTTATCAGCACAAATATTCTTGAACATAGTCACCCATTCGCACTGGAGCATCGACAAGGTATTCAACTAACCTCCCGTTGAAACTATCCTTTCTTACGCAAGATAGGTTTCTCTTCTCGTCTTTGACGAGTGTCATCACACTAGGAAAAATCATGCTTACAATGGCATCATGCGGGAATACTTCCAAACTCCATCGTTCCAGCGCCCCAAGGTGTTCGGCATGACTGCATCTCCAATTTGGAATCCAAAAGATGCTCAGGGATCTCTCATGACACTCGAGAGGAACCTCGACGCTATTGTCATTGCAGTTCGCGAGCATGTGTCAGAGCTACTTCATAACTCTCCGCGTCCCCTTGAGGTATTCTACTCCCTAGTTCTGCAACACAAGACTTGACGAACTGTTCTACAGATCATCAAGGAGTACTACCCCCCGCCTACCAATTACATCTACCTGCATCCCAATCTGTGGGACTGTGTATCCTTATTCCCCTCCCCTGACGTTGCTATTCCGTGGGAAAAGCTTCAAATGAAGTATCATGTCACCCGAAACAGTCTGGGTCCTTATTGTGCCGACCTCTACCTATACCACGATATCAAAGCACGAATCTCCCAGATCATCAATGACCTAGAAGCGTCAATCAAGGACAAACCACGCATTGATTATGATGACGACGCATACCCTGACATGGACATGGACGAGTCGTCAGAGATCGTCATTCCTCCTGACCTTGAGCAAATTGATTTTATCCTCTGTGAATTTCGACCCTTCTTCGAAGATGATTCCATGCCTCCTGCCGTACCAATAACTGTACCACTCGCATGGTGCTCACCCAAAGTCAAGGCACTTGCAGAAGTGTTACTCGAACATTGTTCTCCGACTTTTCAGGGAATTGTATTTGTGGAGCAACGGCAGGTAGCGGCCTGTCTGGCAAAAATCCTTTCGTGCATACCAGAGCTTCGAGGCAGTATTCGATGTGCGGAGCTTGTTGGCCATGGTGGTGGCCATGGGCACCGTGGTAAACATGCAGCCACCGCCAATGTGAAGGGGATGGGTCTCGCACGTCAGCAGGATGTTGTAAAGTCCTTCCGTGATGGTACTTTGAACTTGCGTGCGTTAATATCTCCATATCTGTCAACATACTGGTCTAAGGGCGCGCGTCACAGTCATAGCAACGTCAGTCGCTGAGGAAGGTCTTGACTTTCCGGTAAGAATTTTTATTTTGTTATCATGTGCCAGCTGATCTTCTCTCAGGCTTGTGATCTCGTTATTCGTTTCGATCCGCTACATCATATGGTCGGGTATGTACAATCGCGCGGTCGGGCACGCACCAAAACATCTACTTTCGTCATTATGGTACAGGAAGGTCACATGGCACACCTCAATCGCTACAAGATTTTTGTTGACAGCGAACCCGAGCTCAAGCGTGTCTATCAGAGCAGAGAAAATCCTACTCGACCACCCTCACCGACGCCTTCCGACTCGGAAGAAGGTGAAGTAGAAGAGGAGAATCCAGTTGATTTGGCCGCACGCGAGCGTTACATAGTTCCTTCGACGGGTGCTGTGCTCACATACGGTTCCGCTATCAGTCTACTGAACTATCTCTGTTCCCTAATTCCCCATGACGCATTCACGCCTACCCCACTTCCAAAATACAGCGGTGACTATGCCACTATGCTTGAGTTGCCATCCAGTCTTCCTCTTCCCATCGACAAATTGGTTTTCCGCGGACCACCCCGATGTTCCAAGCGAGAGGCCCGGCGCGCAGTAGCATTCATGGCTGTCAAGGAGCTTCACAAACTCGGAGTATTCGACGACTACCTTCTTCCGTCAGCTGGCTCCAAGGGTAGGAACTTAGAGGATGCCGACGGAAGAAAGCTTTTGGATGTGAGTGATGTGCCCGACATCATTGATGTTCCGGTGCGGGATCCTTGGGCTCTGGGGCCGCGGCTGAGGATGCACGTCATTTCCATCGACGGCGTTGACGTTGCAGGACTCGTCACTGGCACGGAGTTACCAGCGCTAGAGATCATGGGCGAAGGCTGTCTTGTCACAATGCGGTGCACTGACGAACTTGTATTTGACGAGGACGAGGAATGGGAGAAGTTGGAGATGCTCAACGAGTATACCAAAATGGGCATCTGGTTCTGCATCACTGGCCGGCCTATCACTCTCCCTATCACTTGTTTCCTTGTTCCACTGACTCCTCACAATTGTATCGACTTCGACGCAGTGGAGCGTGTTGTCCGCGATCCTCTAGGAACGCGTGACTGGTCGTCTGTAACTGAAGACGATTATCATCAGACTCTGATCATGAACTGCAATCAGTTCGGACGTGCATTGGTCCTGCGCAAGATACGACATGACTTGACAGCACTGTCTGTACCGCCACCTGGCTCCCGTGAGTCTTCCTGCTCCACCTACGAAGAATTCTTCGTACAGAGATGGACCAGGAAGACCCGCGAAGCGGTCGTTCCGACCGATTGTCCCTTGGTTGAAGCCACTTACCTTCCACGTCATCCTTCTGGTCTGTATCGACCAATGCACCGCTTACAGGACATTGACATGTATAAGCGTCAAATGGCACGCCCGGGACTGCTTGTCCCTCAAGGAGCCTGTCGACGCACGTATTTCTCGGAAAACGTGTACCGTGCATTCCTCTTCCTTCCACGCATATGCCGCCGCGCTACGGACCTGTACCGCGCTCAAGAAGAACGGTTTGAGCTAGGGTTACCTGCCATCAAGAACGAGCTTCTTATTGAAGCGTCGACCTTGCCCACGACAAGTGCAACGTGGAATAACCAGCGTTTGGAAACGCTGGGAGACTCTGTTCTAAAGCTTGCCGCGACCGTTCATGTCATGAACAAGTACCCCCACCGGCACTGAGGGGCAGCTGTCTCAGCTGCGCCAGAACAGTGTGTCCAATCGGACTCTGCTGGCAAGGGCATTGGAGATTGGCCTTGAGAGGTACCTGACCTCAGAGGGTCAGAGTCTCCACGTGTGGCGCTATACCATCGCAGAAGATGATGATCGCATGGAGCCTTTCGCTTCTGCGAGACGGTATACTCATCGAGCATATCCTCGTCGAAGCTTACAGGACTGTATGGAGGCAACGTTAGGCGCTGCCTTTCTGCATGGTGGGATAGATATGGCACTCCGTGCAGGAGATGCCCTAGGTATGACCGTGGGTGGCACTATTCCCTGGACGCTGCGATACTCTCGTCCGCCGGAACCATCACCGGCTCCACCTCTTTTTGATGACCTTCAAGCCGATCTTGGATACGAGTTTCATCGGGGCGATCTTCTAATTGAAGCCGCTACCCACCCTTCTTTCGCAACTACTGCTGGATCATCTTATCAGCGATTGGAATTCCTGGGCGATGGTGAGCAAACTCGATGCTTCACTTCTGAGCCAGTGGCTGACGATTTGCTAAGCTGTCATTGACCTCGTCGTCATGAGGTATCTATTCAACAAGTTCCCTGAAGCCACTTCAGGTCAGCTGTCAGCTGCTCGCTCGCGGGCTGTGTGCGGGCCAACCCTAGCTTCTATCGCTGTGAGACGGCTCGAGCTTCACAAACATCTGCTTATCAACAATGTTGAACTAAGCACTGCAATCACAAGACACGTTCCCTTGCTTACGTCTCTCTCCCCTGAGGACACTATCAGCAAGGGATGGAAATACGACCCGCCGAAAGCGCTGAGCGACGTGTTGGAAAGCATTGTTGGAGCAGTATTAGTTGACACTCGTTTCGACTTTGAGAAAACGGCGGTCATAGTCGAAGCAGTGATCGGCGATGTGCTGGAAGCCCTCACGACGGATCTACCTCGGGACCCTGTGTCTGAGTTGATGGTCTGGGCAGCTGCGGCAGGATGCAGGCGGATATCCTTCCAGTGAGTTCCCTGCAGGAATACTCGCAGGACCCTCACAACTCATTATTTTAGGAAGACGCAGAGTAACCCGGATCTCCGGCGAAACGATAGTGTTTCTGTGGTCGTGCATGACGTAGTGGTCGTCGGCCCTATCACAGCCACTAACCTGTCTTTGTCGAAAGGTCTTGCAGCGGAACGCGCACGCACTGTCTTGGCTGACTCAACATTTGACAAGTCTCTCGAAAAATTGTGCGATTGCGTGCGAGACTTGGCCGTTGCTGTCCCAGAAGTGGCAGAAGCTATCATTGTTGACTCGGATGATGCCACTCCCTTGAAGCTCACTGATGAGACTGAAGAGGGCTTTGCTGCCATCGCCAAGCAGAAACTACTCGATGGGGAGGCTGAATCTGCTCACGACAATGATGAGTACGACGACGAAGTGGTGGATATGGATGTGGAGGAATGATTTAATGAGGCATGTCGAACAAGTTTTGTTATTACTTTTTTAGGCGCGTACGGTCCCGAAGAGTATTCCCAGCCTGTGCGGAAGCATTGGAGTTTCCGTCCAGGGTGGGCTGGTTCTGGGCATCCGTAACATTGATTGTTGTACTGCACATATTTTGAGTAGACTTAGAACAGCTTTTTATGTATTTTCTTACATGTAGTGGCCACTATGTCGCAAGCTGCACGTGATTCGTACTCGCTCTCGGTGACACACTGAGCCAAAGTCTGCTTATGATACACAAACAGTGCCAAATAAACGGTGTAACCTTGAGCGGCGTTACCTTTTCAACGTCCTTCTGACTTCAAATTGCTCTCATTTATTTGATAGACGTACGAATCCGATACCATGGGGGACGATTACCCCACGCTGTTCCGTGCGCGCGAGTTCGAACTGTAATAACTCTGTTTTGCTGACTATGTTCACCAGGTTCGGAACAGATGAGCTTGATGCAGTTCCTTATCCCAACTGAAGTTGCCCATGATACAGTTGCAGAGCTCGGTGAACTGGGAAATGTTCAATTTAAGGACGTGCGTGCGCTCTGTTTAGCTGTTGTCATGCTGCTGAATGATAGTACAGTTGAATCCTGCTGTCAATCCCTTTCAACGTTCCTTTGTCGGTGAGATACGGAGAACGGAAGAAATGGCACGACGTGTTCGGTTCTTTGAATCTCAGATTCAGAAGGAAAAGGATGTGGTTCCTATCCGTCCTCTATACGATTCAGCGCCGTTAGTCACGGTTGGACCGAGTGCTGCGCATAATATTGACGAGCTTGATGTCACACTTGCCGAGCATGAGACGCGGCTCGTGCAGATGAATGATAGCTATAAGACATTGAGTGAGCGTACAAGGGAGCTGGTGGAAGCCCGACATGTTCTCCGAGAGACTGCTGTGTTTTTTGAAAAGGCAAGTCTGTTTAATTGACGGGTCTGCATATATGACGAACTGACTTGCGATATGTAGGCTGAGACCCAGCAGACTGACATCAGGACTTCTTTCGATGATAGCTCCGCACCTCTTCTGCAACATGATGACCGGGAACAACAATACTTATCCACTGTACAGTTTGACCTCGAGTACGTCCGTGGATGCCCTTACAATTATTGTACTGACATGAAGATAGATTCGTTGCTGGCACCATCGACCGCACCCGTATATCGACGTTCGAGCGTGTTTTGTGGCGTGTCCTAAGGGGTAACCTTTACATGAATCACACGGATATCACAGAGCCCTTCGTCGATCCTGCTACTGGCACTGAGACGCGCAAGAATGTGTTCATAATTTTTGCGCATGGTGATGCCTTACTTGCGAAGATACGAAAAGTGGCAGAGTCGATGGGTGCGACGCTCTATCCAATCGATGCTAATGCCGACAAACGATCAGACTCTCTGCGCGAGGTCACCGCACGCTTGGAAGACTTGGAGAGTGTGTTATATAATACAGGTGTCAATAGACGCAGTGAGCTGCTGAGAATCGGAGAGAATCTGGCTAGGTGGCAGGATGTCGTCCGTAAGGAGAAGGCGATTTATGAGACGATGAATCTTTTCAACTACGATGTCAGGAGGAAGACCCTTGTCGCCGAGGGTTGGGTCCCAACAAGGGATCTTGTCATGATCCATATGGCACTCCGTCACGCCACGGTAAGAGGGTCGCATATTCTAGATGAACTTCTCAGTCACGCAACCAATCTCAGGAGGAGTCTGGAACGAGTGTTGTTCCTATCTTACAAGAGTTGGACACGAACAAAACGCCACCAACCTTCACGCGTACCAATAAGTTTACCGAAGGCTTTCAGACCATCATGGATGCTTATGGCATTGCTACCTACCAAGAAGTCAACCCTGGTCTGTTTGCCATCGTTACGTTCCCTTTCTTATTCGCCGTGATGTTTGGGGATATTGGACATGGATTGATTATTTTCTTTGCCGCATTGTACATGATTTTCCAAGAGAAGAAATGGGCAAGACAGGAACTTGATGAGGTGAGTCATTTTTGGGGTTGGTGCACACGCAGCACTTAACTTTAATTGTTGTGTGTACCAGATCCTCGGCCAGTTCTTTTAGTAAGTTCTAACACGATTGAATCGATGCCCTTGCTAATATCGACACCAGTGGTCGATATATCATTCTTCTCATGGGCGTGTTCTCCGTCTACACTGGCCTCATGTACAACGACATTTTCTCCAAGAGTCTCCACATCTGGCACTCGGGATGGGACTTCCCTGAGCCCGAGTCGAATGGAGTTTCATACGCCGTTTCTAATGGTCATATGTATCCCTTTGGGGTAGACCCTGCCTGGCACGGTGCGGATAACGGGCTCGTGTTTACAAATTCATACAAGATGAAGATGTCAATCGTGCTTGGAGTCATTCATGTGTGTCTTCATTTCCACCGTAGGGCAGCTCCATCATCACGCTCAAACGATCACGTTTTTCCAGATGACATTTGCCCTTTGTCTACAGCTCCCCAATCACATCAAGTTCAAACGCCCGCTTGACATTTATGCCAATTTCATTCCTCAAATGATCTTTTTGCAGTCAATTTTCGGCTATTTGGTCGTATGCATCCTTTACAAGTGGTCGATTGATTGGTCCACCCGAGACACGGAGCCTCCCTCATTGTTGAACATGCTAATTGCGATGATCCTGTCACCAGGGAAGGTAGATGCGACTGCACAGCTATATCCCGGACAGGGTTTTATTCAGGTCGTGCTTCTTCTACTCGCGATGGTCTGCGTGCCCTGGATGTTGTGCATGAAACCGTACTTCCAGTGGAAGGAAATGCAAACGATCCAGGGTCAAGGGTACGTTGGAGTTGGTCACCGTAACGGTGGGCCTCGTGAGAGTACAGATGAAGCTCTGGAGATTGAGGAAGAGGGCAACGGTCGTCTCATTGCGGAGGAGATGGAGGAAGAGCATGTACGTTATTATTAATTAGCAGATAGGGATGCTGTCATTACTGATCATTATCTACAGGAACACCACGACTTTAGCGAGGTGGTAATCCATCAGATAATCCACACCATCGAATTCTGTCTTGGCTGTATCTCACATACCGCATCTTACCTTCGGCTATGGGCCTTGTCATTGGCACATGCTCAGCTATCTGAGGTGTTGTGGTCAATGACAATCGAGAAATTTTTGGGGCTGTCCGGTATCTTCGGGACGATCGCCCTCGTAATGGTGGTTGTTTTCTGGTTCTCAGCAACGGTGTTCATTCTGTGCATCATGGAGGTGCGTGTTACAAACGTGCCCATCAGGCGTGGATCAGATATACTCATGCCTCATCTTCTTTGTGACATGTTGCCATCTAAAACAGGGTCTCTCGGCATTTTTGCACGCGCTCCGTTTGCACTGGGTCGAAGCGAATAGCAAGCATTACCAAGGAGAGGGATATGTACGTGACGCTATTTCATCATTTCTATTTCTATGTGCGTGTAGTGCGCGTGCTAATGCATTTTTTCTGAATCACAGTTGTTCACGCCGTTGAGCTTTGCTAAGCTAGACGAGAAAGAGTGACCCCATATGTTACCCATATTCTTTTCTGATGTCCTGTAGGTATGATATCGAGCAATCGGACGGTTAGATAATTCAAAGATGCGGGGTAAGGCAGTGAGATTACGCCCCGAACACAGCTCGGTGGCGGTGATGTAAGATTAGCCGGTTCACCGCTTTTGTCGGCCGGCGCAAGGTGAGATATCTTAGATTATCTCGATTTTTCCAACTCCGCAAGAGGCTGTAGCCTTATAGCGCAGGGAGCGTTCCCTGATCGATTTTCTTCACCTGTCTCTCACTTCTTTTTCTTCTCTTCTTCATATCTCAATAGAGGTTCGTCCTCCTCCTTAATCACCTTCTGTTACTGACCCGTTTTCAGGCATTTAGCCGCTCAGTAGACATAGAGCTTGCTCTTGTAGCTTTTGTTTGCCTAATCCCAACTTCATAGAAGAAAACTTACTTTCAACGTCTCTACTAAAGGTACGCTCCTGATCTCGCGCTCTTCTTTTCTGTGCACTCACAGCCAGCTTAGACACTAGAAATGCCTGCTGCTACCTCTACCGCTCCTACTATTCCTTCTCCTGCCTCTCTCAAGGGCCCTGTTGACGGTCAAGTCGACGTGGCCGCCCTATTTGTCGCTGACAAAGCTACCCGCGATGCAGCTGCAAAGGTTCTGGCCTCGGCCGTTCAAAATGACGGTCCTGCTGCCATTGCCGCTGTCGGTTTCGTTGAAGCCGCAGTTAAGGCTCTTGCCGACAAAAAATCTGCTGCCGCCCGTGAGGGTGCAGCTGATGCTGTAGTAGCCCTTGCCAAGGCGGGCGCTACCAAGGCCCTTGAACCCACTTTCGTCGATTCTGGTCTCTACGCAGCTCTCATTGAGGGTTTTGCTGACAAAATGCCTGCCCCCCGTAACGCAGCCGTTGAGGCAGTTCGGGAGTTTGTAGCCTCCATGAACCCATGGGCTACCGGTCTTCTTCTTCCCGCACTTCTTCACGAAATTAAAACTGCCGGTAAATGGCAAGTGAAGACCGGCTCGCTTATTGTGCTGAACCAGCTCGTTGTATCTGCACCCCTTCAAACCGCTCGCCTGATGCCCGATATCGTCCCTATTCTTGCTGAGGCTATTTGGGATACCAAGGCAGACGTGAAGAAGGCTGCGCGCGATTCTCTTACAAAGGCTACTGCGTTGGTTTCGAACAAGGACATTGAACGCTTTATTCCGGCTCTTATCAAGGCTCTCATAAATCCTGTCGAAGAGGTGCCAAATACCGTTCAGCTCCTCTCGGCTACCACATTCGTTTCCGAAGTAGACTCTGCTACTCTTTCCTTGATGGTTCCCCTTTTGTCTCGTGGTCTCCTAGAGAAACTTACTGCTACGAAGCGTAAGGTTGCAGTGTGAGTATTGAGTTTTTCATTTCTCCGACACAGATCTCATTTCGCATATAGTATCGTCGACAATATGGCCAAGCTTGTGGACTCTCCTGTCACTGTCCGTCCATTCTTGCCCAAGCTCCTCCCTGGCTTGATCAAGGTCGAGACCTACCATTGGTGACCCCGAGGCTCGTGGCGTGGTTGGCAAAGCCATTGCCACTCTCCGCCAAGTTGGTGAAGTCCCCGCTGAAAGCGATGGTACCGACCTCCCCGCACTGAAGGTTGCGGAGGACATCACAACTTGTCTCATCCCTCGCTGCTATCTACAAGAAAGCAGGCGCTGCCACTCTCTCCACCACTGACGCTTCTGCCGTCTACGTCTCGCGCCTTGCTGCTAACCTTGTTAACGCCAAGAACTTTGACGTTCCCGAGTGGGACACACTCGCTTCTTACCTCGCATTCCTTGCCCCCACTCCTGACCCTGTTTCCATTGCAAGGGAATGGGTCGTTCGCTCTGCCAGCGAGGACACTGAAGATGATACAGTCCCTGACGATGAGGAAGAGGGTGAAGACCTATGCAACTGCCAGTTCTCCCTTGCCTATGGTGCAAAGATTCTCTTGAACACCGCTACCCTCCGTCTCAAGCGTGGCCACCGCTACGGTCTCTGCGGTAAGAACGGCACAGGGAAGTCAACCCTTATGCGTGCTATCACCAACGGACAGGTCGAGGGTTTCCCCTCCCCTGATGAAGTTCGCACCTTCTATGTCGAGCACGACATCGACGGCAGTGAGGCCGACACGTCGGTCCTTCAGTTCATCCTTTCTGATTCACGCATTCTTGCTGGTGAGACTGAAGTTATCGAGACCCTCGCTTCCGTCGGCTTCAGTGATGAGCGTCAGAAGCACGCCATCGGCAGTCTGTCCGGTGGATGGAAGATGAAGCTTGCCCTCGCCAGGGCTATGCTTTTCAAAGCTGACATCCTCCTCCTTGATGAGCCTACCAATCACTTGGATGTTGTTAACGTCGCTTGGCTCGAGAACTACCTCGTCAGCCTGAAGACGTGTACCTCCATCATCGTCTCACACGACTCTAGCTTCCTCAACAACACAATCACCGATGTCCTCCACCTTAACCGCTTCAAGGTCAAGAGATACCGCGGTAACCTTGAGGCTTTCGTTAAGGTCGTCCCTGAGGCGAAGTCTTACTACACCCTGGAGGCTGCTGAGGACTACAAATTTAAGCTCCCAGACCCACCCTTGCTCGAGGGTGTCAAGACCAAGGAGAAGAGTTTGCTCAAGATGCGCAAGGTTGGCTTCCAGTACCCCACGCAACCCGTCCAGCAACTTTACGACATCAATCTCCAAGTGTCTCTTTCGTCTCGCGTTGCTGTTCTTGGTCCCAACGGTTCGGGCAAGTCGACACTAGTTAAGCTCCTCATTGGCGACATGGAGCCCAACAAGGGTGGTGAAATCTGGAAGCACCCCAATTTGGTCATCGGTTACGTTGCCCAGCACGCCTTCCACCATATTGACCACCATCTCGACAAGACTCCTCTCGAATACATGCTCTGGCGTTACCAGACTGGTGAGGATTTAGAAGAGATGCAGAAGGCTAGCCGTCAAATTACCGATGCCGAGGCACAAAAGATGAAGGACGGTTCTCTATATGTTCACGAGGACGGTTCCAAGAGGTTCATCGAAGAGATCGTCGCGCGCAAGAAATTGAAGCAGTCCTACGAGTATGAGGTTTCTTTCAAGAACATGAGCTCTTCGGAGAACGTGTGGATGCCTCGTGATGAACTGATTAAGCGTGGTTTCGAAAAGGTTCGTTTTGTTCGCTTCTAGTGACTGCTTAATGCTGAAGGCTCATCTCTTTGCAGAAAGTTCTCGAAGTGGATACTCGCGAAGCCCAGCGTCTTGGTCTCTTGCGCCCTCTCGTCCGTCGGGAGATTGAGAAGCACTTTGCTGACTTCGGTCTTGAGCCTGAGTTTGTGTCGCATAACACTATGAGGGGTCTTTCTGGGGGTCAGAAAGTCAAAATCGTTCTCGGTGCTGCTACATGGCGGCGGCCTCACGTCATCTGCTTGGACGAGCCGACTAGTATGTTCGCTTACTTTTTTCTCCTTTCTTTTACTTATGTCCCACGCAGACTACCTTGATCGCGAGTCGCTTGCTGCGCTCATCGAGGCCTTGAAGGTCTTCGAGGGTGGTGTGCTCGTTATCACCCACAACAGGGACTTCTCTGAGTCCCTCTGTCACGAGGTGTGGGCCATGCGCGATGGCCACCTCGAGGCTTCCGGCCACAATTGGGTCGAGGGCCAGGGTTCAGGCCCCCGTATTGATAAGAAGGATGGCGAGGAGGAGGTTCAATATGATGCCATGGGCAACAAGATCGACAACAAAAAGGCAAAGAAGCTGACGTCAGCTGAACAGCGCAAGGTCAGTTCGCCTCTTTGTTTCGCCCTGAATTGTACTCACAATTCTTATTTCCATAGCTCAAGAAGGAGCGCATGGCTCGTAAGAAACGAGGTGAAGAAATCACCGATGATGAGCTTTAAGCTACCTGCCGGTCATGGTATTGTTGATATGTTGTTGTATGCTCCTCATTATGTATTCGCATTCATGTCATCTGTTGTGTTGTTACCCTCGGGCTGTTGTTTATGTACCCTGTTCACTATTTTCGTATAATGGATTCATGCATTTCTGACTTTGAATCATGTCTTGCTATAAGCGCGTGTGGCACGTGCTCCAACCCAGGTTATGTTGATTGCTGCGAGCGCGCAGCTTGGACTTTGTGCTTCTCGTCCGTTGTTGACGGTCCCGTTCTCTTTACGATTCACGAAATGCCCTACCTTGATGATCAAACCTTCAGTTTGTCCACTAGAGACGTCGGCACACAACTCACTCCGAACGCTACTCAGAGAACAACTTTAATCGTTGCAGGCTGCTATGTTATAATTATCGCTATCCTCTGGTGAGCATCTACCAGCCTTCCCGTAATGGCCATGGTTAAGCCTTTTGTTTGCAGGCATGTCCCAGTTTTGAGTTGGATTAGTGCGTACCTCTTCATGCCATACCCTCTAGCGGCACCCTGATGTGTTCTGGATCTACTACGCAGTATACCCTTTCAAGTACGTTTCTCTTGTAGATCCGAAAGGTTGTACGTTGATATCATTATAGACTGCTCACCGTGGGCTTCCATGAGGTAGGCTCACCTTACCGCTGCTCAAGACATGAGGCCCTGAGGCGTCAAGTCATTTCCTAGATGAGCCATGCAATTGCTGGTATCTTGACTTGTGCTACTATACATTCCGTCGAGCTCGATCGTTAGTTCTATGTTTTTTATTTCGCCATCGAGCCTCTGCTTACTCCGGACAGCCGACGAAGGCGGCGAGACCCGCATGTCGGGCGGTATACCCTGGATTACCCTTCCCGCTGGATACCTCGGGTCCTCACTCATCGGCGCTTGTCTTATTGCATGCGGATTTGATACCAATGCGAGCAAAATAGCTTGTCTTGTCCTTGGTGCATTTTTCCTCTTCACATTATGGTGGGCGCGCAAGAATTGGCTGTGAGTATTGTTCCTGCACTGCTCAGCTGCGGAAGGACGAGCACTGAATGAATCACGCAGAACATGGGCACTCATTCTTGGAATGTCCGGCTTGATCGTGTTATTCTGGCTAGTAGCGGACAGTGTGGCATTGCGGTTCTTTGTGAGTTGTTCTGGACATTCCTCGTATTCCAGGCTAAACCTCTCAATAAGATCTTGTTCGTTGGCGTAATGTCGGATTTGTATGTGCTATGGGACGTGATAGGTACGTCTACCCTCAAGTTTTGCACGCGTTAGACTAATGGTTTCCTTCAGACGATACCATCGCGCGGAAAGTCAATAGCTCCGATGCATCCGCGTTCGCTCGGATTTGTGGCTGTTTCCCATCTCAAGGTCAAACTCTCTACTTTTGATGAACATTCACTAATGCCCTCATCAGTGTGGGGTGTCATTTGGCTTATAATAGCCTTTATGTACTTTGCCGCTGGCATTATTGTGGGGCTAGTTGTATTCAAGGTTCTTCCCTCCTCTTCCCTCGGCAGGACGGCGCTGACGGGCAAAATATCTTAGGAGTCTTCGTCAGAACAGAAATCACAAGCTGAGCACTTCCTTCCTGCTCCGGGATCGAGCGGTGCTATGGCATCTGCACCATTACCGGGTGTCCTTGTAACGATTGCTGCAGCCATCTCTTGGAAGCTGTTATCGTGGCTCTGAAAACCACAGCCAGTGCTTGGACTTAGTGATCCCAGATATCAGAAACACACTTGTAGCTTTGCTGTTGGTTCTAGACGCAGAATGTGGAATGATGTTTTGTATTCCAACGACTTGTTATGTAATACTGTCTTGATCCGCTTTCTAGATCCGAATGCTATTTTGATGACTTGCCCTTTCTACTGTCCTGTCCTGTACATACATAGTACCACACTGTCACAGTTCTCGCTGACAAGGTGTTGTGTTATTTTCATTCACGTCGCCGAACTGGCGTTTCCATTATGAAACACGGATAAGTTACTGCTTGACCCGCTTCCCCGACTCCCGCGTTAGTGGAGAGGGTCTTTGGCGAATGGATGTCTATTCTCTGGCAGGCTGCAACTTGTCCGGCAAACTGTGTTTTATTGATCGATCACATTTCTTGCGTTTTTGTCAAACCCGTTGCAAACAGTGAACGTTGAACACACTCCCTAAGGGTGTCTTCATTGAACATGATTTGAGGTCTTGGTGAGCTGTACAGGCGGTTCGATGAAGGGTAAAATATCGTAGGAGGGTATCGGCTGGCACAACGGGATGCCTATCTCAGTATTAGAGATCAACTGAAGATTCGAAGCAGGCCTTGCAGTAATTTACTGATGCTATTACCATTTCAAAAACTGTAAATAAACGAGGTCAATATGTACAGCGTAGTACTACCAGGCAAGCTAATGCTCATCACAAGAACAACGACATTACTAACATACCTCTGATAATCAACTTTCTTGGAAATACGGGTCCGCGATAGTAGCCCATGGAATCTACTCATCAGTCAATCCACTCTCTGCCATGATCTGCTCCTTCCACTCGCGGTCTCTAGTTTCCTCCGGAAAAACTGGAAAAGTTGAACAGAGTAGAATGGGGATCCTCTCTCTCCCTTCACGCCATGACAACATCATGTTTCCCGCTCCTGTGGGGATAGCCGGTGGGGACAGGTACTACATTATCTATTCCTCGCTCAACAAACCAATGTCTAAGTGTAGTGCAAAGAGATGTATCGCTTAGATGCTCGTGCTCAACTCCCGTTTTCTGGAACCAGATGCGCACGAGTTCGGGAGTAGACACATATCTGTCTATTTTGTACACCATGACGGCTCCCATAGTAGAAACTGGGTAAAAGGATAAGCTTTGAGGACATAACTGTGAACTGATATGGAGTTGTCGTGAGTTACACGAGTTAGGATCTGCTTGCGAGCTGGCGCAACGATGCTGAGGTTGGGATTTTATCGACATTTTCTAACACAACATCACCGCGACATCATGCCTTCAGGGGCCAATCAGGGGCAACTTCTACGTCACGGTGTGCATGTGAGATTTGTATTATGTAATAGGAAACTGTGAGTTGGGGATATCATTAGCTACCAAGAAGTAGGCGCGCGACCAGCCCAGTCATCTAGACGTACCTAGGACCTGCATCAGGGCCTCATCTGACCATCGAGATTCGTCCCTCGGCAGCACGCCTTAGCTCGCTTTAAGTGAAGAATCATGTCGTTCCAAATGCAGATACTCAATATGGTTACCCACAAGACGAAAATTTCTGGTGTCGAAGACCGGAATCCAGAGAAATGGTCCAATGCAAACTTTGATAGCTGAAATTTTGAAATCAATGGCTCAGTAAGCTTGTCTTGTTTTAACATGAGGTTTCTATGACTGCCGCGGCTGATTCCGTTTTCGATAGTTTCATTTTGAATGTGTTGGTTTGCTTGATGCTTCCGAGGCAGATTGATTCTGCAGTTACATGTACGGTAGTGGAACCAGCTCTCAGAAGAAGACAACCCGATTTTTTGCAATCTAAAAGTCGTTTATGCTCATCTGTACGATACGCTCGTCCGTGGGAATTTTCCATGCTCTAGGTGTATGCTAAACTTGGTAATATTCAAGCTGTACCAGAGTCTGTGAGGTCTTAACGGTGTAAGCATGGTGGCCTCATGTACATTTTTCCCGAGCGGTACCCAGTGTCAGCGACGTTTCAGTTTTGACTTTGAGTCGTCCTACCAGCTATAAATTTCCGACATAAACAGGTACGAGTAGCACTTTATTCAACTTCAAATATCACTGACCGCAAATCTAACATAAGATGACCCCGACTCGGAACATCGTTATCTTTGGAGAAGTGGGAGCAGGAAAAAGCGCCGTCATCAACCTGATGGCCGGCCAACAGATTACCCACATATCGCCTGACTCTCACCGCTGTACTCTGCATTGGATGGAGTACCTAATAACCTTTGAAAATGGGACTCGATACAAGGTGTTTGATACGGTCGGCCTCGAGGAGCCCCATATAGAAAACAAAGACTACCTCACTGCGATTTCAAACGCATTTGGCCTCATCAACACTTTGAAAGAACGTGGAGGTATCGACCTCTTACTCTTCTGTATACGCGGAGGTAGAGTCACGACAACCATGCAGAGCAATTATGTGTTGTTCTTCGAATTTCTCTTCGAGGCAAAAGTCCCACTCGTGCTAGTCGTCACAAACCTCGAAAGAGAGGCAAATATGGAAGACTGGTACATGCGGAATGTGGGTCACTTGGAGAGGCACAACATTAGGTCCGCAGGACACGCATGCATAACTGCGGCGAATCTTCTCGACGGGAGACATAGAGATAAGTATGAAGAGTCGCGCGGCATACTCCGTAGAGCGGTTGAGGTTCATTGCAACATTCATATGGAAGGGTGGACCATCGGGCAAGGATCGCTTGTTTCCAAGTCGTTCATCAACAAATATGTGGAAGATGTTATTCCACGTCCCAAGAAGACAGATATCATTGGAGATCCCATGAAACGATGCAGGATGACCGCTCAGCAGGTGGCTCAGCGGGTGGCTGAGCAGCGGGCGGCTGAGCGGGCGGCTCAGGAGCGGGCGGCTAAGCGGGCGGCTCGGGAGGCGGCGCGGATCAGGCTATGGCAAATGATTAAGAATTACGGTAACCCGTCAGTCTCTTCAGATGTAAGGAATACAGGTCCACAGCAGGTTCGTGCACTGTGAAATCGGTCAACAGATGGCTGATGCTTCTATAGGGATATGAAAGTCGACCACGTAACGTAGTGCTCTTGGGGGAGAGTGGAGTGGGTAAAACCTCACTCATAAACCTCATTATGGGCCGCAATGTAGCGGAAATATCTCCTGACGCTCGTACAATCACACATGCTGCATATGATTTGACGATCAGCGGGCAATACTTCAGGCTGTGGGATCCGGCAGGTAGGCATTCTTTCACTTTAAGGTTCGAGGACAGAGCGGATTGACAACCATGTCATTAGGGTTAAACAAGGGCTCCGAGGGCGGAGCCCCTGCGGCCACGGCTGCAAAGGAGTTGGCTCTACTCCTCCGTAGCCTGAACAGGGGAGACGGTGTCCATCTCATTATGTATTGCGTGAGCGGAACGCGAGCTACAAAGGCTCTGCGAACGAATTACCAAACCTTCTTATCAGCCATCGGTGACAGAAAAGTGCCCATTGTTATCGTGGCGACACACCTGGAAAACTGGCGTCCAGTGATGACAGAGTGGTGGAATCGATACAAGGACGAGCTTGCGAAATATGGGATGCATTTCCCTGGATATGCTTGTGTCACAACTCTGCCGGATGGACGCTCGGAATCCCAGGATCTACATCAACGTCGTGCACAGTCCTACGAAGACGTTTGCAAACTTATCCTGGACCATTGTTCACCGCCGCAGGCCCCTCGCAACACACTCGCGATTTTATTCAGATGATTTATTTTGTAGGAAGATCATGGGCATCTTACATATTATGATACTGTACGTAGAGATATGAACTTTTCCTGATGGTGAGGGTGATGTAATAAAACAAGACTAACTGAGCGACAACATGTCAATCGCTTGGGTTTCGGAACAACTCGCTCTCTCGAAATGAGATGATAGCTAAGACAAATATTACCACTCACGTACATAGGACGGCGCCAAACTGGGTATGATACTGTAGTCCAGATACAAAGTACATAGAAGAAATAAACTTTCGAGTGACATGGAGTGTCTCAGCAAATGAACTCATGGCTGATGCGAGTTGGAACAACAACGACGGCTAATGACAAATCCACAGCAGCTTACTACAATTTCTTCTGAGTCGCTTGTCGAGGCTTATGTTTGTGTGGGCCGTGCCACCACTGCAGGTCGACCTGGTCGCGTTGAGCTGTCGGCCACATCGCCATTTGTGCGTAGCATGGCTGCAGCCGCTTCCTCGTCAGATTCAGGGGCAATGCCGTATCTCTGCAGAGTGATTTAAACAATATGAAAGGGGAGCGATGATGAGTTACTCACATCTTCATCGCGGCAAGCAGCAACATTAACGGGATGTCTGGAATATTTTGCTGGAATTAAGCTAAAATTCCACTGCCAGGGATTACGCGGTATTCTACGTTGGGGTGCATTTTCAAGTTGAGAGTACGGTGAATCAAATGTGAGATTTTTCCCTCGAGCATGTATCAGTCGTTCCCAAAGGTTTCGATTATTTTGGCTATCGAGGTGGGCGGAAGAATCATCTCGCTGTTTGCTTTTATCCTCTCTGGCGCTGAGTGGATCATTCTCGGAAGTGCGCTGACAGCCGTTGGGTTAAGATGACGGCGCGCGAGAGTCGAAACAGCACTTACATCATCACCTTGCTCGCCTTCCCCTTCTCGCACTTTCTCCTCTGGTACGTGTTGGTTGGATTTAATAGTTGTAGGCTCTAGGGGTGAGTCTGAGCGAGCACGACGAGCAAAGAGCTTGCGTTTTGAGCGTTCTTGTGGAACAGACTCGTCTGGCAGTGGGCAATATCGAGAGACGACATTCCAGAGGCGGCGAACCGACAACCAAGGGGGGAGACGGTAAGGTGATGGTGATGGCGATGGAAGAGATTGCTGCGAAGACTACAGGTACTTGTTGTCAGTGCTAGAATTCCTGAATGAAAACACGACTTTTACCGGGAAGAAATTGTTGTCTAGATCATAATGCACCCCGACAATGAAGTCATTACCCCCGGTAGCATCAGCCTGCAATAGCAATATAAGCAAATAAGACAAGCAGTCAAACGTGAAAGTACTGACGTCAAGGCACGATAATGATGGGGAGTTGGACCGAGTTTCCTGTTGTGTGCTTTGGCTATCGCGTTGTCGAAGTGGTGTGGGTGCTGGAAGCTGAGGAGCCATGTCTTTGAGCACCCATAGAGTGAGTTTCTTGTTGTCTCCGCCATATGCTACGTATTTCCCGTCTCGAGAAAACGAGACACAGTAAAGGGTGTCATGAGTCTGGTGAAATGGCTGGCCGAGTGGCTGATGGGACACTGTGTCCCATAGCTGTGCAACACCTTGGTGGCCGACACATGCCAGTACATTGTGTTTGGGAGAAAGTGCGACCGAATACAAGACGCGGTCGTGCTCGAAGCGATGGAGTAGTTTGCCCGATTTACTGTCAAACACACGTGCGAATTCGTCTGATGCGGAATAGAGTTTGGTGCTGTCGAACGACCACACCAAGGACGTCACAGAGAGCCCCAGGTCTTTGATAGGGTCAACGACGAGCTGGCCGGTCTTCGTGTCCCAGATACAAATTGTATTGAGCCCGCCTGATGCGATTCTCTCACCCGAAGGTGAATATGCAAGAGCTTCTACACCCTCCTGCTTCGTCTTGATCGGGCCCACCACGATTTTTCCACTTTCTACTCTTCGAATGAGGATTGTTCCATCTTCGGACCCGCTGGCGATATGACTTCCGCTGGGTGACCACGATAACGACCACACCGCCTTGCTATGACCCGTCCAAACGCCTTCGATCATCTCCCCGTCGATAGTCCATCGTTGAACGCTTCCGTCCTCCCTCCCACACGCAAGTATCTTGCCATCTGGTGAAAGCGCCAGCGCATATATGCCTCCACCTTCACCTTTCCACGGTTCCCCGACAGCAAGTCCCGTGTCGCAGTTCCACTTGTGCATAGTGCCATCCACTGAACCACTCACGATGTGGACATTGTCGTGCAAGAAAACGAAACCCCAAATCCCCTTATCGTGTCCTTCAAAATTGTGCTTAGGAGCTAGTCTTTTGGATTGCACTGGGGTTGAAGCTTCCTCGAGGGTCGGTCTTGCAGAAGATTCAATAGAAGCCATAGCTCGTTACTGTAATCTTGTGGATCAATCCGACTCTGCTGCGGGTGGTGAACAATTATGGGGGCGAACAAATTGACCCGCACTCACCAGTTGGTATACTGGCCTGTTAGTGGGGGTAAGCTGGCAAGACAGGTGGGCTTTTATGTCCTGCAGGCGGAAGGCATGGATTTCGCGAGGCTAATATCGCAATACAGCATTTTGGACCAGTTGAATGTTGTGGCATAATATTCGACTGCCCCAAATGCTGTATTGCGAGCGGCCATGCCAGTGGTTCCATTCACAATCATCCCAACGTGGTGATCGTGCTTCGGTGCATACACTCACAGCAACCATCCAAAACACAGCCTCTCACATCCATATATGGTTTGCTCCAGATCTAGCTCATGTCGTTGTTCATTATACTCTGCACTCTAACCATCCCTAGTTTGTTTAAAGCTCTACAGGCGCGGTGAAACACAGGTGAGCAAGCTGGGTGAGTACATCGTGCTTCCGGTGCTTGTGACGTATATCTATCCGGTATAGGACTGTGTTTTTATCCTGAATCAGTGCTCGCGAGAGAAGACGACCTTCCGTTATATATTGCCTGCATGTATTGTCCCACAACCTCATGTTCGCCCTGGACTAATCAAGTCCGGTAACCACATCAAAGATGTCATAGGCGGAATGGTCTTCAATTTGGATGAAGCCAAGAACAAGCTTGCCGGAACATTAGATATAGATCGCACGAATCGTTAGTCTGTTCTCCTGCAAAACGAATATGTAGAACCTTAGAAGTGACGGATACGTTGTTGACTCCTATTCGTGCCATCTTGTTCAATTCGACCAACTTGCTCATTTCAATCTGTAGCAGACTACAACTCCAGTGACAGTATTGAGATAGATGGTATCTGCATATACAGAGCACTTTGCATTCATTATCATGCAAACAAACATCAGACAGCATGAGTACATGTAGGGACAATACAATCCACCTCCACCAGCGAATTATCTCCTGCCACCATGGTCTCTCTCCCTCTCATTAGAGATCCTCCTGCGCCTATCACCTCCAGGAGATCGCTCATTCCGCTCTCTCTCACGATAATCATCCTTGCGCCGCCGTTCATATCCACCATCCCGCCCACTTCGATCCCGTCCATCCATATCCCGCTTGCGAGGCGGAGGGGACCGGTCATCTCTCCGGTGGCGAGGAGAGTCGCGACGGGTATATCCTCGTCCATCCCTTGGTCGCGGGGGAGGCGACGGGGACGGCGTACGTGAGGAGTAGCGTCCGCCTCTGCGTGGAGGAGGCGAGCGAGAGTCATCTCGAGCACCACGACGTGGGGGTGGGGGTGGAGTGCGTGAGTCATCTCGCGCGCCACGGCGTGGGGGTGGGGTACGCGAGTCGTTCCTTCCATCACGGCGTGCAGGGGGACGACGAGAGTCGCCTCGGACACTACGGCGTGGCACAGAACGCGAGTCATCCCGCCCTCTGCGAGGGGGGGAAGGAGTTCGTCGACGTCGCCTAGAGTCCACAGAAGACCCAGAATCTGATGGGGAAGTATCCGAGTCAGAGTCGGACTCAGAATCAGAGTCAGAATCAGACGAGTCAGAGTCACTGCTAGATGAATTCGATTCTTGCTCCAGCATGGCACGTCGTTGTTCCATAATGAGGCGTGGGGCATTCTATTGCAAAAAAATGAGCCACTTCAATGCCTTGAGTATGTAAACTTGACATACCTTGAGGTACTCTCTCATTTCTTCAGTGAGGACACCGAGTCCAATGCTCGTGAAGTAGTTGATGGAGAATCGCGTGTTTTTCGGATTGTCCATTGGGAACATGTCCTTGGTCGCGTGCTTGACCTGCTCATCCTTGAACCTCTCCCCGAGCGCTTTCAATCCCATACTCTCCATCATCTCTTGCATCATAATCTTGATGAAAATACGACTTGAGCTCGTCGTATCCTCCTCGTTGATTTTGACACACTCGAGCACGATCCAGGAGATGGCATCCGTCGCGATCATGTGCCCGAAGAAACGAGAGATGTTGCGCAGGCGATTAGTCTCGTACCGATGTATCGTTGTGTAATAGTTGACAAAGGCCTGCTCGAGAGCATCCGTCCAGACACGGTTGAGTTTGCTGAAGCGCTCGCCAACAAGACCATAGAAGGTGGAGTAAGAACGTTCTTGGGAGCAACATTCGATCACCATGTTGATGAGCTCAATCTAAAAGGGCAGTCAAGCATCTGTAGAACGTTGACCATACAACCACGTACCTCATCACCTTCTTTGATCTGTACTTTGAGGAGCTTGTGTACAGCTTCCTCGTAATTAAGGGCGTTCATGATCGTCAAGTAGATCGTTCTACGCAGGTTCACGAGATTGGTCTCCGTGCGGTCTTCGATGCCTTCTTTGTCTGCGACCACTGTATGATATGAGCTCGCAACTCAAGATGTGGTGCGGGACGAAACAAACCTTCGTCTTCATCCTCACTAGACGACTCTTCAGAGCCAGATTCTTCGTCCTCTGAACCTTCGCCTAGAATCTCAGCCTTGATAGATTTGTACTTCTCCTCGTTCTCCAGGTAATTAGGATCAAATTTGAAAACATCTACATGCAAAATTCAGGCAAATTTTTTTTTGTCAGAGCACGAGCACGCACTTAGTCCTTCCTGAACCTGGAGCTCTTCCTCAAGCTGGATTTGATGTGTAATCTGTTCTTCCTCTTCAACCAAGTCAAGACCTTCAGGTAGGATTGGGTTGTCCTTGTACTTATCCTTCCGAGTTTGCATCAAAACTTCGATCATATATTGAACCCTGTGGCTGATTGACCCTTCGTTCAAGACAGCGCGGAATCGCTCAAAGACAGTTGCATTGGCCTTTGGTGAGTTTTCAGCGAGGAAGGCGCCTACTTCGCGCATGAAGCCGACAGCAATTTCAATCGAGTCATCGGTGGGCCGCTCGAGAAGAAGAACCAGGATTTGGAGAGCTATGATTTCATGAGCGACAGCTTGATTAACAAGATGAGCGATAAAAGTCGTTGTTGAGTGGCATACAATCTTGGAAGGAGAGGTGAGTAATCTCAAAATTCAACGGTAGCTTTCGGATTTGTTTACCTTGTCATTTCGCTTGAACGATCGTCTGAATTGACTAATCAAACGAGTGAGAACAAGTTCTCCCACTTGAGGGAGTTTTGTGTTGATAACGGCCACCACGGCAGCAAATACAGGCGTAAATGGCAAACTTGATGATTGCGCCTTCATGATGCTCCGGGAAAAAAGGCCTCGACCGCGGATAAGATTTTCGGAGAAGAGTTCAGGGACAATTTGCTTTATATTCGCAATGTTGACTCGGTTGACAATACCAGTAAGAGATTTGCGGAGGGCATCCCAAGACAATCGTTGGTATTCTGGACTGGTTTTATCACTGGCTGCGGCGGCTTGCAAGGCACGTAGACGTGCAGGGGGCATGTACACGCCACCCGAGCGTGAGCCTATAAGCTTGGCAAATTCAGCCTTCCTTTCTGCTTCGTCCTGCGCGCTGTCTTGCACTCTTGGATTTGAGGCTCTTTCGAGGGTCATGGCTGCTATATTTGCAGCGAGTTGCCTCTCCCTTTCAGCCCGTCGAATTGGATCCACATCGTTTACACGAGGAAGGTCTATTTGAACGCGAGACGGTGACTGCGAACGACGACGAGTTGCCGGTGGAATGCCATCTGGTTCACCAGGTGAGCGAGAACGAGACCTGAAAACATTATAAGGCGTCAAATGTTTCAAAAAGACAATCTTCAAGTACCTCTTTCTACGCCCAGAAGGACCATCTGGAGCAATTTGAGGGGGAGCATTGTTGTTGCCATCGTTGTCCGTGACGAACTGAACCCGTGGGAGTTCTTTCAATGCTTGCCATGTGCTTAGTCAGCAATATACTCTTTGGCAGGTGGTTGAGTTCCTCCTCAATATTTGGCAAGGTTTCTGAGGTCTTTTCATTACGCTCTTACGTTACACAGCTGGTGCCTAGTTTTCGCCATAGCTTGCCAGCCGAATGGTGGCGGAGTGCACCGCACACTCATGGCGCGTGAGGTAACGCACGTACCTCGGTTTCGGGAGCTTTGAGAGCCGAAGTACTTCGGAAGGGTAATAGGGCACCTACAACTCCGCTGAAGCTAGCAATTACGCTGAGGCAAATATTGTAACCTTACACAATCTCGTAGGGAATTTGCTAATGCATCCAACTCCTCCTGCTAAACTTCCATCTTGTAATCCAACCCGCTCCTTCTGGATCGATTCCTCCCCGGACGCAAATCCACTCGCTGACGAAGGCAGCCAGGATCCTCTGCCAAGCGAGGCAGACGTGTGCATCATTGGGGCTGGTATCACCGGCGTTGGCGTCGCGTACCACCTTATCGAACTTTTGAATGATGGCTCATTTTCTGTCACACACCCGTTCAGTATCGTGATACTCGAAGCGAGAGATTTCTGTCAGTCTCATGCTGATTGTGAGTTTTTCGTACAGTACTGATGTGTTTCAGGCTCAGGGGCGACCGGTGCGTGGATTATTATGTGTTTCTTTAGCTCCTTGTGCAGAGAATGTTGTTTATAGGAAGGAATGGTGGACATCTTACGCCAACCGCTTTCCCCAAGTTTGCTCAACGTCAGGCATTATTTAATACGCTCGAGGCGATCAAGTCCTATGAACTTGAACAATACACCGTTTCTCTGCTCGTCAAAATCATAGAGGAGAACGGCTGGGCGACCGACATCGACCTCGTAGAAGGTGGACACATAAATATCTTGTTCACGGAGAAGGAAGCAAAAAATAAGTGCAAGGACTTCGATATGGCACGTCAAGCGCAGCTCAATCTAGATGGCGTGGAATGGCTCTCGAAGGAAGAAGTTGAGGAGGTGCTTGTTCTCGCTAGTCCTCTCTCTAGTCTGAATCAACCCGCTCATTACCAGGAATATGGCGCTCCTTACTCAGGATTCCGCGAGCCAGAGTATAATGTCTGGCCGCTGAAACTTGTCACGAAGCTGTACCAGTATGCTCGAGCACACACTGGGAAATACGCCTCCCTCAGCTTGCACACTCGGACGCCGGTGACTGCAGTCACGCATGGAACGGCTTCCACTTACACAGTCGTGACGAACCGGGGTAGCATATCGTGCTCCCGCGTCGTCCACGCCACGAATGCGTACGCCTCTTATCTCCTTCCCTTCCTCGCAGGTCCAGATGGAATTATACCCACTCGGGGACAAGTAATGGCCACCCGTGCTTCTGTTGGTATAGATCAAATTAGGATACCGAGCTGGAGCGGAAAAGAAGTAAGCCACTCCATCCTAGCCCATCTTGTCTCGACCAATCTCTCTTTTAGGGGTTTGTATACTGGTTCCCCCGACCTGTAACACAAGACACCGAAAAGCCGTTGATCATCATCGGTGGTAGCCGGGATGCTACGGCACCCAGTTACGAGTTATATGTAGATGATGACTCCGAAACGCACCCTCTTGTTGGGAAAGCGCTTCGCGAGTTCTTGCCGCCTGTATTCGAAGGTAAATATGACCCCGATTCAGAGCCTGAGATGGAATGGGTAGGTACTCCTTTTTCATGCGCGAGGATATCCCTGATGAGGGTTTAGACTGGTATCATGGGCTACACGAAGATGGGGGACCCGTTTGTATGTGCACATAACTCTTACAACTACTGTCATTAATGTGTTCCTCGTCAGGTTGGTCCCGTAGCAGACTTACTTGTGGCTAATCCAGACAGAGATCTGTACAAGAAACAGTACATCGCCGCAGGATATGCTAGTCATGGAATGACGCGTGCATTTGGATGGTCAGTCTTATATCGTGCGGCTGAACCATCTCGGGCTCAATCTATACATGACATGGTTTCCAGTGCCGATGTCATCGCGCAAATGATTCTTGCTGAGATTTCTAATAAAGAGTGGAAGGAGCCTGATTGGCTTCCACAGCGTTATCTGACATGGAATAGACGAGTCGAGTAAGATCTCACAGCACAACGTTGGGAATGTGGAAAGACTAGATATCATATGCTTGTGGTCATTTAATCATATCGAGATACCCGGTAACCAGGTCATGTCATATCTTCCTGGTTTTCCATGGTTTGCATCGACAACTTTGATCTCAACGTATGACATCTTTCAACAGCATTTTCGCTCGATTTCCGTGGCTCATCATTTGGTTGAGCCAGTGTTGCCACAGGGGTTGCGTTTACCTCTGTCCCGGCCAATAGGGATGAAATAAACCACCTTCCTGTTGGTCACAGGCGGTCCCCAATACACGAGGTCATTGGAAAGCATGACCGATATTTGCGCCCTTCCGCCGTCAGTTGATGACTGCTCATTTGATGACGGGCTCGCATTGTCAATCTGATAGCGTTCAGGGGTTAGATTTATGGGGACCAGATAGTAAGTTTAGATTATAGCAACCAACGCATACTCAACGTCTCCATCTAACCACGTACTTACCCAAGGGTTATCTCAGCTTGCAAAAGACACATAGTGAGTATCTCAGTAACATGGTGCGGATGACCCTAGATGAGCAGTTGATTGCGGGGACGTTCTGCAAAACACCGTTTATGACACCTAGAACAGAGAAGATTATTGACCGAAATGGTGTCATGTCTACATGAGAAGATACTGGGATAGTCTGCCACGTTGTTCAAAACGAGCAAGAAGACCTGTTGTAGAAGTTCCGCTGACAGTCGATGGATATGCAGTTCTATCGGCGTCACGTTGACGGGTGTCCGAGAGATGTGCGAACTCGAACGAAAGGACGATGTATGGATCTCATGGAGCACTTTCATGCTCTTCATGCTGAATGTTTGAATTGTTGGGCAAGTCTGGCCTCATTAGGCCGTGCTAGCTGGAGGTCCTGGGATCCATTACTAGGGTGAGTTTCAACCTCTGGATAGCTGAGTCACAGCCTGGTGAAAGTGCTGTGAGAGTTATCCTGACGCGAGTGTTCCCGATATCATTGTAAGTACCATCTTCCACAGAACTCAAGAAACATGATACTCTAATCACCTAACGCAAAAACCGAAGTCCGAGCTCAAACTCAACGACTTCGCAGGCATCAATTCGACTGCAAAACATTGATTCATGACACTTGGAATAGAGAGATGGGTATGCCGACAATACTTACATTCGTAACGAGCACTGATCATGAAGTTCGGTAGTTGAACCAGAGGGTTTTGAGTAATATTCTTCCCTGGATTACTTTCGTTCTACTCACTTGTTACTTTCTTTCCAGGAAGACACCTGACTCCAAGCTACGGGTACGAGTGCGCTGCATAATACCCAGATCAACTGCTTCTTGTAACCCATTAGCATCAGGAGATCACTGAATCATGGTGACTGGCAACGATTTACCTGGTAGTCGGCTTATCGTGCTCTATCACAAGGCAAGAATGTGCATTGCTCGGCGAAACTTAAGACGTGTTTCATTGGCGTGTACCTCGTATATATATATCCTCATCTCGAGAAAGGTAGCTTCAGTTTCCCCGTTCGCCACGAATTCCGATACTCGTCGATTTGAAGCACATTTCTGTACAAGACAAGCATGACCAGGTGCATAAATCGAGATAGCGGGAAACTTACCCACAAAAAGTAACCTCTCCCACAACTGAGAGCAACGACTCGATACTGTTCATGTGAACTTTCCTCAACGGAACGTCCGTCTGAAAATCTAACACCGGTATTCGGAAAGATGCCACCGCTAGCATGGACAAAAGATCATGAACTTGTCGTTTTTTTGGTGTTCCGACTAGAGTCAATTTCCGGAAAACGGGAAGATGAAGGAGGCTGAACATGTTGATGAACTCTTGCCAGAAGTGATATGAGGAGGGGAGAGGCAGGGTCATCGACTCGAGTGTCGCTGAATAGCTGCTAGTGCCGGGAATATTGAACCAGTATATTTCATCAACCGCGATGGTCTCCAGATGAGGGAAATCGGTTACAGAAGAGCATAAAGCACACACGGAAGCGTCCCGGAGGTGGAGATGACGTATATCTTTGTAAAGGGGGATGCGCAGTCCGGATAGGGGGACAAGATAGTGAGTGTTGATGTGTAGGCGAGAAAGATTTGGTGCATGAAATTTGCTGAGATCAAAGAAATCACATTCCAAGGCTTTCAACTGAGGTGTGTCGATGCTAAGATCCCAGTTACATGCGGGTGGCATAACGACCGTTTCCCAACGCTTGCTCTCAGAAAGGAGGATATTGAGAAGTCGAGAGTTTGGCGCTGTTAGCCAAAAGTAGTCACGGCTACGGAGACAGGTGCACATGCAGCATGGGGTATCATTGTTAACAATGCGAAGGGTGAGAGGCAAATTACCAGAGCGAGCAAGCCAACACTGGAGAAAATGTGGAAGAAATGGTCTGAACCATCTAACTTCCCCGGGGAGCACGACCTGGATGCGCGACCAGACTCCTGTCGTTGAATATGCAACAACTCGCCAAAGATGGCACACCCTGGTCAAGACTAGGGGAGGGCTGGCAACGTTGACCGAAATGGTGTCATGTTCGCATGAAAAGATACTCGGATAGTCCGGCGCACTGTTAACGATGAACAAGAAGATTTGTTGTAAAAGTTCTACTGGCAGCAGATGGATGTACGGTTCTGTCGGCATCACGCTGACAGAAGAGACTGAATGAAAGAAGGATGATGCAAGGATTTTACAGAGCGCTTTCATGTATTCCTTGCTAGATGTTTTGATCAATGTGGGCGTCATTAGGAGACCCAGTTGTGTGCGAAAATACATGTTCCCGGAACAGGGGCAAAGTTAGTCACATCCCTAGCTGCGAGTTGGTCCGTGCACGGCCATCATGGAGACACTCGAAGTCTTGGCATCCATTACAAGGGTGGGTTCAAATGTATGAGGCTCCGTGAATATCGTCTGACAAGCGAATGCCTGGATAGCTGAGCGATCGCGTAGTGAGAGTGTTGGGCCAGGTGAGTGTCCGTGTCATCCTGGAAGCGTGCGCTCCCAATGACACTCTTCCACAGAACCCAGGAAAATTCACACTTCAAGGTAACTACTAGCCGCTTCCTTCCAAGTCTAAGCTCAGACAAACGGCTTTGCAGGACAAACACCTATCTCATCGGCGAGCGCAACCCCTACACGCTCATTGACACCGGCGAAGGCAAAGACGCCTACATCCCCCATCTCGAATCCGCCCTCTCCGATACCTGCAAGTTCACGAACCCAAATGAACCCCACATTTCCGATATCATTATCTCTCATTGGCACCAGGACCACACAGGCGGGCTCAACTCCGTCCTTTCGCTCTTGCGGAGAATGTGGAATGAGCGCAACACACCGGCTCAGTTTAAGCCGCCCCGTATCCATAAATTCCCCTTTGTGAACGTGTCGCCTGACTTAAACACAACTATTGCACCACCACCCTCAGGTACATACACCCCCACCGCTAACGGTGCCTTCCTGCACGACCTCGCACACGGCCAGCTTCTCCCCATAACTGGCTCACCCTCGCCCATGCGAGTCATTCACGCCCCAGGACATACCACCGACTCCATCTGCCTCCATGTCCCCGACGACCGCGCCCTCTACACAGCTGACACCGTCCTAGGCCAGGGAACAGCGGTGTTCGAGGATCTAGGAACATATATCTCCTCCCTGCGCGAGCTCCTCGCATTTCAGTCTGATTATACTGTGTTGTACCCTGGGCATGGCCCTGTTGTCGCTGAGGGCCCTAAGCTTATCGGTACATACATCGCGCATCGTATGGAGAGGGAGGCGCAGATTGTTAGCGTCATTGAGAAACCTAGTCCTGACGGGCAGCCTTGGTCTACGTGGGGAATTGTATCCACGATATATTCTGCGTACCCGCAGAATCTATGGGAGCCTGCCTCGCGAAGTGTTAATCAGCATCTTGGGAAGCTTCAAGCTGAGGGCAAGGTGAAGAAAGTTGGGGGCGAGGGCAAGGAAGTCAAATGGGAGCTGCTAGCAAAGCTATGAAAGAGGACGGCGAATGGCCCGATCTCAGTCCACATTCTATCAAAGCAATAGGAGGAATATAGCATGAACTAGATCGTGCATTCAGTGTAATATGCAAGTGACATATAACGTGAAAATCTCGCGAGCACACGTACATCCGCCGCCGTTATAGTGCATCAAAATTGATATGATGCGATGCCCTCCTCCGCTCTAGCTCATCTTCCCTCTTCTCATTCAGATGCAGAACAAAGACGATGCCTGCTAAAATGAAGGTTGCAGCCACGACTGTAAGCGTTACCCATGGTACCCAAGCCCCGGCCGGAGGAACAGCTCCCTTCGCCATGCCCCATCACCAAGAGCAAGGTGGATGACGACGCGCGAGTTCGGAATGACGCCTTCCATATTGATGAAATGTTTCTGCGTGTGCTTGGTTGAGCCGACAAACAGGTTCTCAATGTAATTGTTGGTGCGCCCGAGTCCGAAGAATGAATATGGCGTCAGAAGGGAATGGTAAGAAGTTTGAGGAAGTTGCCCGACTTGAGCAGCGGTACGACGGCCAGAGGTGTCGAGAACAGTGTATTTATACGATGCACCAGAGTAGCTCACGCCGAAGGGCTGCATCAACTACATCAATGCAGTCCCCCACGAGATTAGGGAAACACTTACGGAGTACGTCGAGCCGTTTGACTCCGTACACAATCCATTATTACATGCACCATTTAGCACTGAGCGAGGTATGAGTGTATGGCAATCATGAAGATATAAATATATTCTTCCTCACCTATAGCATTCAAAAAGAACGCATCATAATAAAAGTTGTTCTGGACAAACAACACAGTGCCTTGTTTCTGGCGCCCATCTCGCTGCACGATGATATCCAGCGTGCCCTTGCATCAGGTTAATTTAACTCCATATGTAAGATCGAGAAATTGAACACTCACATCCTCGTCCACATCCAAAAACGAGACTCCGCGTGCGTCTCTCACAGCTTCTAAAGGCTCAGCGCCCTTCGTGACGAGTTCAAAGCCTCTCCTGCCATTCCCTTTTTCGTCGCATCCTCCCAGGCCCTTGGCACAAGGCTCGGAAAATAATAGTTTAGGTGTACGCGACTGATCGGAAGGGTTCGAGGCAATGAGAAGGAGATCCGGAAAACCATCAAGATTTGCGTCTCCGAGCTTGATGGGCAGAGGGATAGACGGAGTATACGTGGTATCAAGGACTAGAAGAGAGCTCGCGGGAGAGGAGGGAAGAAGGTCTGAGAGCGGTATCTGTATGTATGCCTGGGGTATCCTAAGTAAGGCTACGGAGTGCAAAAAGTGGGCAGCGACGAACGTCGTTTTCGCTTCCTGTACTCATATCGAACTTGAAGTTGGGGTCAGCAGTGCACAGCTCCTCTGGCCGCCGACATGTTCGATTTCCTTGCCTGTCTATGGCGGGGGATGTCGGGGAAGTACACAATGGCAATTGTTTGTTGTACACTATGTTGATGAAACAGCCAGAGCCCACGCCAGCCGAGGAAACGGACGAGCATGAGGGAAATACCATGTCGATGGTACCATCCCTGTCTGTCTATTGATTAGTATGGGTCGGAGAGGTAAAATACGAGGGACCAACCGACGTCAGCAAAAGATATCCCCTGTGTCCCAGAAGGTAGGTCGCCGCTCTGGTCTAACGAAAATCCAGAGTCCTTGTTATTAACCCAGATCTGGTATGACTTCTTCCCCGAACTATCCTGGCATACCAGAAAGATATCTCCAAACGCAATTGCTAAGTTGACAAACGGTATGAAGTGGTCTTACATACCTGCTAAACAATCACCATTGAGATCGATCACAGCATTGCTGTGAGGATTGGCGAGCGTGCACTGGTTTCCAGTAAACGGAGGATCCATACTATTTCATAATCAGCCAAAAGATGCCGCGCGCAGCCTGAGACACTTACAGTTCGAACAGCTTTGGCGGGCTCTGCGACGCATTCCACGTGTTCCGCCAGGCTGTGAAGGGGCCGGTATAAGTTCCCTGCGAATATGCAGTGCCTAACAGGTCGATTTGCATGTCCCCATCGATATCGACTGGTATAGGTTCTGAGAGCGTTGAAGATGGGACTGAAATAGAGTCTGATGCTATAAACTACGATTATAGTGAAACGTTCGGCGGGAGGGAGATAGGACCCACCAAATGTGCCGTCATGATTGCCCGTATAAAGCGTCATGTCTAGCCTGTCTGAGGAAGCACGATTCGAGCTCATGACAAGCACATCGAGCTTGCCATCGTGTGTAAAATCGCCTGGGATGACATTATAGATAGGCCTCGGGTGTCGTACTGATGATACCTTCTTAAATGAAAATGCGTCTACCGGGAGTGGAGTGATCAGAGGGAACATTTATGGGGTGCACTATTATCTAACCGTGTTGCCAGAGGTACACAGACAAAGTCTGTTGGTCCAAGTCTACCGACAGGAGGTCCAAGCTATTGGAACAGAATATTTAATATATCATTCAGAGATAGACACATATGTAACCCACAACTTGTCCCCATTAAAGTCTCCAAATGCGACTACACGATCCCCGTCATTAATGCCCACTGAGCCCGCATCCAGAAGCGAGTTTTTCGTGAACCGTTTCGGCGAGAACGGCCATATTGATGCGACGGGTGACGAGAGCAGCAATAGGGTCAATGTTAGGTATGCTGGAATGGATAGTAATGGCGGGTGTCTTTGTGCGCTCCAAGACTTGAAGAATGAGCTGGCCATGGTAAATCTAGAGTCACGCCAACCAGTTACTGAGTGAGGCAAAGTTATTCTGCTAATTCTGGGACAAGGGTGTTGCGGCCACGGAGACTTGACACGCGCTCTTCTGGAGGGGGTAATTGAGAGAACTACACAAGTTTGATGACAAGGCAAACATGCGTATTCTCCTCACGTGATTCACACAGGCACCGCCTCCCTTTCTTTACCCACTGGCTTGATATTAATCGGTTCGTCTACACATGAAAGCATGTCTCGTATGTACCGGCAGCGAATTGACCTATCATTTCGCTAAGAGTCTCGGCTCTTCGATCTTGTCTAGCATTTGCTCACTCTTTGTGTCTTGTTTGGTAGTAATTGCCGACACTCGGAACGTTAACAGTCGTTCGGTTTTGGCGTTTGATTCTGCTCGCTCCCCAAGTCTTGTGAGTACTTTATCGTTCTCATGATGCTATTCGAGGCTTAGGTTCACTGACCTCTTTTGTTGTGTAAATATTGCGATTGTAGTCGTACGCATATTGTGCTGCACACTACATATTTGATGGCTGCACATGCATTATGCCCCACCGTGACAGTCCCGCCAGCATTTTAGGACCACTTCAAATTGACCCTACCAGCATGTGCATTGTGCAACAGGAACGACTTGCTATATGACGACCACTCAGGCTCTGTAATATCAACCAGTCCTTTCTGGCCGTGGCGAGAATCTTTTTATGTTCCTTCAGCTTCTCAATACACCGTGATGAACATGGACACATACTGCTCTCGAATGTGTTCCACACACAACTGCATTTTGATTTCAGGTCGTTCATTTTATATGCGTGCCCTTACAAACCAACAGGAGCATGATGAATACCACCCAGTCGGCTTTCTAGCGTCGTTCATTGTGACGAACCCGAACACAGCTGATGGTCCTCTTTGTTGGGAATGAAATAGGCAACAAACTGAATCATGTGCCCCACTCGGTTTCGTCGAACAACTCTGAGCAAACAAAGTCCGGACACCCTCACGGCATTCACAATGAAAAGACTACTATACTCGGTCGATCTCACGATAATAGCGTGGTTGAGTACAGTTGAGTAAACCTAGAGTCAAACCAGTGTACTACTAATTTTGGTCTTGTAGTGCTATGCGATTCGAATCACGCTATGAGTTTCTGATCGGCGGTATTGACGCAGTGAAAGACCACGTCAATGCGATTCGTTACACGTCACAGGGCATGAACATATTTGGAATGCACTGTCACGCGCAGATCCCTAGTTGACTTATATAGCAATGATTAAGGTTAAGGAGAACGTAAGTACTAGTCCGATACATTAATGATCGATCGATCAATCCGTTCCTCCTCACCACATAACGTGGGAGAGGGGCACCGCTGGCACGCGGCGACGTCAAGTTGTTTGTGAAGTTGTTTGTCCATGTCCGTATTTTATGTGGCACTCTAAGCGCTACTCCAAGTCCATTGACGGTAGACCAGACTAGGACAAATGCATCGCGCTCTACTCATTCCCGAAGTCTTCCTTGAAATATTCGCGCACGTCAATCAAATCCTGAACCCGTCGTCTACTGGTGAAAAGGCACTGGCTCGGAAATCCATTGCAGCGCTTGCAAGGACATGCAAAACCTTTCACGAGCCCGCGATGGATCTGCTGTGGTCTAAAGTAGATCAGGTAGAACCATTGCTAGGCTGCGTGACGAGGCTACATCCGCTGATATATCATAGGGGTTCAAGGGTCAGTATTCAGTAGTTGCGCTCTATTTTTTCATCGGCTAACCGAGCATCCGAAAAGTGGGACAACACTTGGTCAAAGGGCGTCGAACCGTTATCTGCCTACGAGGCCCGGCTTTTTCTGCGTCACTCCGCACGCGTTCGCTCATTGAATGTTCAATCCGATCACTTTTTTCACCTTCTCTCAGTCATCCCCATCGGAAAGTGCGTCTTCCCGAGGTTGCGGTCGTTAACTTGGAAGCTTTCCACTGGCAAATGTTTGAACCTATTCCTGTCCCGCACGCTGCACCGTTGTTTCCTATTCACTATCAATCAAGACCTGAAGAATATTGTGACACGTTGTGCCGCTTTGGAGGACCTATCCATCAAAAAATTAAATTTTGATGCGAGCACAGCGGATGAGCTGTCCCTACTGTCTGATAGTGTCCGTCTATGCAAGCAGCTTGTGACTCTGTCTTGTCCACTGCTCGACTGGGCAGCATGGGAGTACATCTCTAACCTCCCTAACCTAGTCAGGTTAGGAGTCCGTGATGTGCAGATCCGCGGTGCCCCTCCTTGGTCGTTGGAACGCGATGTCGCCTACCCTACACAATTCCTCAACATCACAGCTCTCTCTTTGCAGGTTTATAGTGCTAGATATATTGTCGCGGTCATGCAACACTCACAATTCTCCTCGCTGACGGAGCTCAAGATCGAAACCGACCTTCTGTCTTCGGAAGAGGCAGAGCAATTCTTTCGTGCACTGTCCAACTGCAAAGCATGCCAAACCTTGCAGCAGCTTGAAATCACCATCATTAGCTTTGGTCCCAGATCTGGACATCAAGGCAGCTCTTTGACAGCCATTCCACATCTCCTTTGCTTCACACAGCTCCAAACCCTTCGGCTTGTTTGCCGGTTTTCCAATATCTACCTCGACGATGGCCTTCTCTCGGAAGCCACGTCAAATTGGTCGCACCTCCGCACTCTGGAAATAGAAGGCTCGTGTCTTCACCCTTCTACCGTTACATTTCGTGGATTATTCACAGCGCTCCGTCTGTGTCCACACCTGCACACCTTGCGAGTGTTGATCGATCCTGCGAACACCGAAATCGGTCCTAACAAAATACAACATACCTCCTTAAAAACAGTGGACTTCGACACCTTATCTCCCATAGCGAATACCGCAGATGTAGCTCGCATCATTTTCAACGCGCTCCCTTACGTCGACCAAGTCAACCGGTTTACGATGCACACGAAGGAGTGGGATGAGGTCAATAGGCATCTCAAATATTTGAAAGCTGCTGTGCTGCATGTCGCAGGGCCCGCTTCGAGTTTATGATGTATTCATATTTGGTAAATATTTTAGAGTTTTCACATTCCACCGTATCCGTTCTTGCATGGTTTGTTGTTGTATCATACTATAGTCGATGTTTGCAATGGTTGCAATCGTTTTCTCCTTTCAACCGTTACATTACTACTAGTCCACCACCCGTTGTGCCTTCGGCTGGCCTTGGCTGTATCCTAATATGTCAAGTACACCTCAACCTCACATGATCTATACCTAATTAGGTAGCACTGCACCAAATACGCACACTGCCAGTAAATCTATATATCTATCTATAATCTATAAAGTAGGATGCGACGGGTGGGAATCGTCTCGCCAGCTCGCGTGGCTTTCGTATAGATACGCTTAGATACGCTTAGGGACGCTTAGATTCGCTTAAACCTCTTTTTGGGAATCTCGCGTGGCCCGGTCACGGGTTTTCGAGCTCCGACTTAACACTATTGCCCGTTCGAGTGCAGCACATGTCAATAAATAATTGATGAAAAATTGAATGAGAGCACAGGGGAATGGGGGAATGGGCCAAAGGTGTGAGCGGAGCGAGCACTTTTGGTCTGTTCCCCCATTCCCCTGTGCTCTCATTCAATTTTTCATCAATTATTGCACATGCTAGGATGCAGCCAAGGCCAGGAAGCCAAAAAGGAGTGTGAAGCGCTCTGTTTGCTTCCTGTGCCGAAGGCACAACAGGTGTGAAGCTAGTCTATAAAGTAGGATGCGACGTGTGGGAATTGTCTCGCCAGCTTGTGTGGCTTTCGTGTAGGTACGCTTAAGGACGGTTAAGAACACTTAAGGATGGTTAAGAATGCTTAGAATCGCTTACCTCGCTTAATGCTTACTTTGGAAATCTCGTGTGGTTTTCTTGCATGAGCTCGCTAAACAGTGAGAAAAAAACTTGCAAATCAAGATCGAGAATTTGAGAGGCTAAATTCCACCAAGTATGCAAATGCTGCCAAACGCAATATAGTGGACAGTAATCCACATGCCTACTGCACCACGGGCATAATACAGACAAACAGAGTGGTTTTCCTACTATATGGGAACAGCATCGAGAATAACAAAAGCATATTAGAATTTGGTTATGCAATTTGGTAACACAATTGATTACACAAATCACTACACAACTTGGCTGCTGCTTTTGATTAGAATTCTCGAGTTATATTGCCTTCCCTGCAGCCAAGTGTAATAAAGTGCAATACATACATTTTTGTGGGTTTCATTTCTTATCAACAATGATAGAAATTGACTTATAATTAATGAGGTCAGGCAACTCAATTATTGCACTTGCTAAACAACAGTTTGAATAACAAAGATGGATCAAAACGTTCCTATACTGTGAGTTGCCAATTATATATTGCTATTGCTATGTGCAAGGTGCATCATGCTAATGCTTGCACATACTATTTAGACAACAACCACAGATTACACCAGAATGCAACCAGCAGTCACAACGTGAATGTGATAGACTTAACCAACTTCAAATGACCTCACCTACCAGACGTAATCGTCATCACACTGCCAATAATAATCAGGACAGGCCTCTACCTCCTGCACCACAGCCAAATTTCATGGCAGCTAATGAGCCACAAGCAGGGCCTGTTCCATGACCTTTTGCTTGGCAACCTCCTCCTGGATTTCCATATGGGCCACTGCCAGTTGACCAATATCCTGGCTTGCCATGAAATGCAATTGCACATGTGCTGCATGCTCATCATCCTCCTCCTGTTAATCGTCCTCCAAGTCCTCCTGTTAATTTTGATGTGCTCTTGAATGAGTGAACAAATGCAGCTGGAAATAATAGACTTCACCAGCGTAATCTTCGCCGGCAGCAAGAGAGACAGGAGATAAGACAGGAGGCACAAGCAGAGCTTATGGCAGCTGGGATAGAGCCCCCACATGTACCTCATATTCTGAATGAACCTGTTCAACCTGCACCTCCTGTGCCTCAACAGCAGCAGGAAGCTGAGTTGATGAACAATCCCCTTCATTTTGCGCCTAATCATGTACCACCTTTACATGCACTCCCTGAACCTGCTATGGAGAATGAGTGCATTAGACATGACTTGCTTCAAAGACAAGCACAGGAGGAATTTCATCGATGGCAGATTCAGCTACACTTGCAGCAACAATTGCAGTGGCAGGAGGCTGGCCAACTGCAGATGCAGTGGCAGATGCAGCAGCAATTCCAGCAGCAGGAAGTTGAGCAACTGCAGATACAGCAGCACTTTCAGCAGCACTTTCAGCAGCAGGAAGCTGAGCGACAGCAAATGCAGCAGCATATGCAACAGCAGATGCAGCAGCAATTCCAGCAGCAGGAAGTTGAGCAACTGCAGATGCAACAACAGTTCCAGCAGCAGGAAGCTGAGTGACAGCAAATGCAGCAGCAATTACAGCAGCAGGAAGCTGAACAGATCCATAGACAGGATCAAGATGTTCAACGAGCAAGTCAACAGGAAGAGGTGTGCCAACAACACCAGGAGCAAAGGGTTCATGAGCAGAAGGAGCATCTTGAAGAGGCACTGCGTGAATATAATGATCCAATCTCTCAAGAAAACCATGAACAAGATGAGGAAAGAAGAAGAACTCAGGAACATGAACACCACCTGCAGCAAGAGGAGGAGGAGGAGCATATTAACCAGGCAGTTCCTGTCCCTGATGGAGGTCGACTATACACAGAGCCTATTACCCTTCATACTCTTGGTCCTCTTAATGTAGAGTGCACACACTGCCATGGAATGCACTTTGCATGTGAAAGATTGTCCAACTCCTCTCAATGAAACCCACACTTTGGAATGTGCTGCTTGCAGGGCCAAGTCAACCTTCCACCCTTTCCAGCATGGCCACCCAAGCTGCAGCAGGCATATATGGACCGAACATTCATCTCAAAAATATGCCAGTATAATAGTGCTCTTGCATTCACATCAGTTGGCATCAATATTGAGGATCATGCTCTTCAAGGATCTGGCCCAAATGCTTTTCGTATCCATGGATCTCTCCATCACCTCATGGGCAGTCTTATACCCCCAGAAGGCCTTCAGCCTTCATATGTGCAACTCTACATCTATGACCCTGAGGAAGCCACAAACATCCGTGCCACCCGTCCTGGAAATGAAGGTCTTGACTGTCGCATCCTCAGAGAGCTCCATGATATGCTGTATCAAAGCCATCCCTATGCTCCTTTGTATAAGCAGGCCTATCAAGTCATGCGAGAGAAGCCTCCAGAGCAGCACACTGATGTTTGTGCATGCATCCATTTCCAGCAAGGCACAGATGGTCAAAGATATAATCTTCCCACTGCCAATGAAATTGCTGTGATTATTCCTGGAGATGGATCTGAGGAGGTGTCTGACAAACATGATATTGTCTTGTGACTTCAAGGTGGTCAACTCCAGCATGTCAGCCAACTCAGTCACACATACTCAACCCTGCATTATGTCCTTCTCTTTCCTTCTGGTGAAGAGGGCTGGCATCTTGACATCCCTCTTAACAATCAGGGTGGACGTCAACGAGCAAAAAAAGTCACCCAGTTGCTCTATTATGCCTACTGCCTTCACCCTCACCCGGTTCACATGGACCATAACAACATCTTTCGTGGTGGATGACTATTCCAGCAGTATGTGGTTGATACTTGGGCCTCCATAGAGCAGAGCAATTTGAACTGGATCAGGAACAACCAAAAGTGGCTGAGGGCAGACTGCTACTGAGGCTTAACAGATAATGTCCTTGATGATGGTGTGAATGATCTGGCTCAGACAGGTCGCTCCATTATTCTTCCCTCCTCTCATACTGGGAGCCCTCAGTACATGCACCAGCTGCTTCAAGATTCCTTGGCCATTTGCCATGCCTGCAAGAAGCCTGATCTCTTCCTAACAATGACTGCCAATGGGAGTTGGCCTGAAATCACCGAGAATCTCCTTCCAGGTAATAATTCATATCTTATGCACTGTTTTTGACTTCAGCCTGACAACTTCTTATATAGGTCAGAGCGCTGTGGACTGTCTGGACTTGGTGGCTTGCGTGTTCTATCAGAAGCAGCAGGCTCTGTTGAAGAAGGTTCATAAAGGCTACTATGGAAAGGTCACAGGTTTGGTGTACACCATCGAATATCAAAAATGCGGTCTGCCCCATATGCACCTTCTCATCTTCCTGGAGCAAGAGGATAAGATATGGACTGCAGAACAAATCGATTCCTTCATCTCTGCTCAAATTCCTGACAGAAATGTCCATTCACAACTCTATGAGGCTGTGGAAAAATATATGTTGCATGGCCCTTGCAACCCACAACATTGCTTGGAGAATGGACAGTGCAAGAAACACTTTCCAAAGTCATTCTGTCCCCAGACCTTGATGAAGGACAATGGTTATCCAGAGTACGCAAGACCTGACAATGGTCGCACTATCCAAAAGAATGACAATGTCTTCACCAACAAAGATGTCGTTCCTCACCCCCCAGAACTCCTGGTGGAATTCAACTGCCACATCAATCTGGAAGTCTGCACCTCTATCAAATCTGTCAAATATATTCACAAGTACATCTACAAAGGAAACGACTGCACTACTTTGGAGATGAGAGGAGCAGTGGATGAGGTCAAATCATATCTCAACTCCAGGTATATCAGCTCAACTGAGGCTGCATGGCGCATCTTTGAATTTTCAATGCATCTTGAATGGCCCTCTGTCTACTGCTTGCCAGTCCACCTCCCAGATGAACATATGGTGTTCTATGATCCTGAGGATGATGCCCATGATGTTCTTGAGCATGCAGCAGCCAAAGAGACTTGCCTCACTGGATGGTTCAAAGCCAATGTCAATGAGAACTTTGTGGCAGCTGGAGCCCATGACCACCTCTATCAGGACTTTCCCTCAAAATTTGTCTGGACCAAAAATGCATGGAAGATACGCCAGCATGGAATGGCCATTGGAAGGATGTACACTGCTGCACCCAGCTCTGGGGAGTGCTTCTACCTGAGATTGCTTTTGACTGTAGTGAAAGGTATAATGTCCATGACAATTGTTATTGATCTAACTCACCATTTTTTATGGGGCTACCTCCTATGAGCATCTTCGGACGTTTGATGGGGTTGTCTACGAGACTTTCAAGGAAGCATGTCAGCACAGGGGTCTGCTTGATGATGATAATGAATGGATCCAGTGCTTGCAGGATGCATCTCATATGTGCACTGGATATTGCATGCGCAATCTCTTTGCCATCATCCTCATACATTGCAATCCCACAAGCCCTG